TGTGTGTGTGTGTGTGTGTGTGTGTGTGTGTGTGTGTGCGTGGCATGTAGACCAATTCCCTGGGCCAAAGTAGGGCAGGAGAGCCTGGCATCGACTCAGCTTCCTGCATGAGTGACCTGAGGAAACAGTGTGTTGTGTCTGTGTGTGACTGTGTGTGTGTGTGTGTGACTGTGTGTGTGCGTGTGTCTGTGTCTCCGCCCTACAGCAAGCTGCTGTCAAAGAGAGGGAGGAGCAAATGAACGCACCAGCGAAGGAGAGATAGAGAAAGAGAGGAGTGTAGTAGAGAGAGTTAGCATCTGTTGTTTCTGTGGCCGCTCAGCAGCACTGGACTGATCTTTAAACACACACACACACACACACACACACACACATGCATACATATTTTCTCTCTGTGGCACACACCACTGCATACCTACACACACTTCTATTCACTCTATTCACACACACATTTACATCTTTCCGCTGGGGCTCTCTCACATGCTTGAATCCAACGTGGAACTGACGTTACGTTCTTCATCATCTCTCTCTCTCTGTTTCACACACACACACACACACATCTGCGCTCGTTCTCTCTCTCTCTCTCTCTCTCTCTCTCTCTCTTTGGGTGTTTCTTTTCCTTTCATTCATATCCCGGGACTTTAAGCTTCACACCACATTCTCACACACACACACATACACATACACACACACACACACACCTACACACAGACACTGATCTGAGAGCCACTGTGCCGGCATCACATCGTGCGGACGTTGAGGCTGCCCGTCTGCCATCAGCATGTGAGTACAGCTGAGCGGGATTTGGGAGAGACAGACCTGAAGTGATTTACTTGTTAACATCTTGCCTCTGGCAACATCTTGGCATCAGTGTTTATAGGTAACAGTTTAACCCTTATCTCTGTCTTTAGTTCTGGGAATCTGAGTGTTTTTGGGGGATGATGGTGAAGCTAATAGAGGATCAATAAAAACAACGCTGATCTTGTGAGTCTGTGGTGCTCTAACACTGTGTTATCCCTCTAATGACCAGTGATGCAGCATTAACATGTTGACTCCTGTGCTGTCTTTAGTCTGATGACTCTCACAATGTAAGAGATTATCAGAGATATAGAAACACTGGTGATTTAGCCTTAACAATCTTTTTTCACTTTTTTTCCACTGACTTAAGTGAATTACTCTGATACTTTAGCTTGTGATGCAGGATTTGCTTTTCAAGATAAAGATGATGAAGATTACAGCTCTGACTTCGCAGCAGCATAGCTCTCAGCTTTGGTCTAAAAAGAGAAAATGATCAGAGCTGCAGCCCTGGCAGCACAGGCTTTGTCTCTCTGTTCAGGATTCAGTAACACTAATATCTTAGCTGCAACACAGACTTTGCTCTATAGATCACAAAGAGGAGCAGCATCTCTGTGCAGCTCTACAGTGTCTTTGTTTCTATTGTTTTAGCACTGTCTCTGATTGATAAACTTCTCTCCTTTATTCTTTATCTCACTGTATCAGATGTGATTTTGCTGAAATGCATCAAAGCTCTTATCACAGTCATTAATCTGTTTCCTATCATTTCTTTTCTCTCCCTTTTCATTCTTGTCTTGTTTTCTCTCTCCCTCTCTGTTTCTCTGTGTCTCTCTCACTCTTAATCCCATAATGCTGTGTCGAGGCGATGCGTGTTGACAGGGACAGTTGAGATGTTGATGATGTGAAAATTTGTACAGTATCTGGTAATTGTGATCACTCTTATGTCATGTTGAACCCAGGGAATCCCACAAGAATAAAACTGTTAATCCATCAATTCATAAAGGATTAGAGCTGAGATTGAAAACGCCAGACTGAGGTCAGCAATGAAAACATGAAGGTGAAAGCCAAAAATGAAAGTTTGAGCAAAAGGGCGCCTGATTTTCATGTTGTTATGGAAAGATTGGAGGCGTTTTTTTTGCTTCTGTTAAGTGTGGCGATCTGATTTTGGCATGAATCAAACCTAGTCCATGTTTACTGCACATCACCTTTGGCATGAAATGCAGCACGTTCACAGAGTGAATACCGGACACACAGAGGTGAATCTTCCTGTCCTCCAGCGAAAACAAAAATCTATCAAAGTCCTTTTTCCAAAACATCAGTGTGTAGTTTTAAAACCATAGCTGTAGGAAAAAAGTTCATGTTCAGATCATGTTTGTCTGAGTATTTCAGTGATTTCAGACTTGCGTGACTTTGAGCTGCTTTAATACGGTTTAGTTGTTCGTGTCCTTGAGTGTCAGTGTGTTAGATTAATGAATGCTTTCGGGGAAATCAGAGCTGTGATCTGGGTGTTGTAGGCTGGTTTTTGACAGTGTTTAAAGGCTGGATTGTGTGTGTCGAGAGGTAAACAAGGAGAGGAAAACAGAAAGAGGCAGAAAAAGAGGAAAAAGTATCAGGAGATACTGCAGGTTCCAGCTCCCTGTGTGTGTGTGCATATGCGTGCGTGCGTGCGTGCGTGCGTGCGTGCGTGCGTGCATGTGTGTGTGAGCGCCTGACTGTGTGTACCTCGAGTATGATTGAATTACTCAGGGTTAATTAGATTCTGTAGTCCACAGTAATGGTTCAGACACACACACACACACACACACGCACACACACACACACAGGGACATCCTTCAGAGGGGCTTTTTCAGGCTTATTGCCAGCGGCGTTGTCATCCGTGTGTTAGTTCAGAGGTTTCTGGGAAGCTGTGTGGTGTTAAGAAGACTAGAGGAGAGTCAGTGAGGATTTATTACAGCACACATCTGCTGTTATATGCAGCCACTCTGGATCAAAAACACCACATTTGACTGTCCTTGTGAGGCAGCAACCTGCTGGTTATTTTTACTTGCTCTCTGCTGGATGAAAACTATCATCCTAAAAGCCATGAACGCGCATCAGAGAGCACATTATATCATTTGTTTTTCCCACTTTGTGCATTTTCATAAATAATGTACATTTATAATTAAAGAGGCACAATGACATTTTTATGGCCACTAGAAAAAAATGGGTCAGAAACTAAAGTGTTTTTGCTGCATGTAGCAGGAGGATACTAAAGCACAGGCCTGCCATGCAGTGTATGAGCAAATCGTTGCTCTTTGCATTGATTGGCCAACCGGTTGCTCTCTCGCAATTTACTACTTGTCATTCAGCTGATATGGGGGATACAATCAGTTTTTCCTGCCAATTAAACTAAAAGCGCTGTTTGAAAATTTGTTTTTGCATTTGTGTACAAAATCAGCACCTAAATTTGTGGTTTTGTACAGCTTTAAGCAGAAACATGGATTCACATGCTGATTATTAAAGTGCTATGTGCAAGGGTGAAAACGTGAAAGGAAACTAATTCAACCATTATTTGGCAACTCCTGTTTGTTTTCCTGATCTCTCAGTTGCTAAGTCAAACTTTTAACTTTGTTTTCCGTGGATCTGTAGCATGTCAGCCAAAGCGAAAATATGAGCCCAATGACTCCTTCAAAGTGCTGCACCAGTGATGCTGTGTCACACCACTGCTGAGCTGCTTGAACGTCACTGTGTGAAATCAGTGTGCATGTATAATGTGACTCTTGTGTTCAGTGAATACTCGCCTGTTTGCCACCTACAGTATGACATGTAGGCAGCTGAAGTCAGATTTGTCTGAACATGTCCAGCTGCTACGTATATGACAGCACTGACATGGGTTTATGGTGTTCCAGTATGTCTACCTGTCTTCAAAAAGATGGACATTCATTCATGTCAATCATTGTATGATAGACTTGTAAAGTGTAAAGCTGTTTTATTGGTTGTCGGCATGTTGGCGAGGGGAGGAGGAAATGGTTAAAAGTTAAGACTGAATGAAATTGCTAACCTGGTTCCTGACCTTCGAACAGGTGTTGTGCACCCCAGTGGTTGTTTTTGTCATTTGGAAGTTGGAAATTGACCAATCAGAGCTTAGTATGTGGTCTTAAGAGAAGGGACGCTATCTTTATACAACGCTAGCAAGCTACATATATAAAAAATATCATCTGAAAAATGAGCGAATAAAGTGAAACTGATCATCAGGCTAGAATCTACAATAACAGATTTTTTTTGGCCTCTCTGGTGCCAACCCCTCTCTCCAAGATATTGCATTTATACACAACTAAACTGCAACAGCGGATACATTTTGTAGGAAATGTAATTGCTGCAGATTCAGGTTATAATTCTCTAAAGCAAGCGACCCCTTTCACATTGTTTTCAGGTTTCAAGTACAGCAGCTTTAAACATGTATTTATGAATAATATTACATTCAGCATGTAAGATTAGCATTTACTGTCCTATTCTAGTAGAATCTGATGTCTGAGTCAGTGTAGTGGTCTGAAGCTGACTATTGGTGTGTGTGGTTGTGTAAGCAGGTGTTTGGTGTTGATGTTATTGACATGGATCGAGTCTGATGTAACAGGAGTTAATATTCAGATCAAACAGACTATTAGATTATGGCTATAGAGAATTTGTTGACAGCTCAGTGTGTGCGTCTGCATGTCTATGAGTTTGTGTGTATGCGTGCACCGAGAGTTGTGTGTCTGTCGCTGAGCAGGGTAATCCAGCACCGAGAGGATCCTTTCTGCACTCGAACATGAAAAATAAACTTGTGTGCTCGTTGTACGACAGACATTTGTAGGAGATGTGGTTTACGCTGAAAATGAACGCGCGCCATCCTGTAGGCTGTGATTGTTCATGCTTCTGCACTCGTCTTTGATCCATGTACCGTAATGTGGTTTCTGAACTACTGAACAAAAGGTCATTGAAGCAAAAATCACTGTCTGTCTCTGCTTCTAACACGGAGCAACAGGTAGCTTTAAAAGTAGCTGAAATGGGATTCTCTGTAAATATTTAAATAGCAGATGAAAGGGTGATTTTTATAGGGAATTTGTTGGAAGATGGGAAATGATCAGACCTCTGCCAGTGCATTAAAGTCAAAAGCTAAGCCTGTCATCTCAATTCTTCTGGGTCTAACTCTGTTTGTCCTCTGTGTGTGTGTCTCTCTGTGTGTGCAGAGTACAGTCGTTTCGAGGCGAAGATCCATGACCTGAGGGAACAGATGATGACCAGCAGTGTCAGCTCCAGCTCCACGTCGCTCCGCTCCACACAGAAACGCACACTTTACGTCAGGTAACACACACACACACACACACACACACACACACACACACACACACACTGCAGCAGACAAAGGTGGCTGATTGTCCAGTGTCCTTCAGTGTGACACAACTATTATAAGGTCTTATCTCAGCTGTCTACTCTTACGTTTTGTGTGTGTGAGATGCTGAAAGAGAGGTTATCACATCTGAAATCACAATTAGATTGTCCGGCAAATACTGTCTCAAGCTCGCACACAAACACATCCATCGCCTGTCACGTCTTGATTTCTGTGTGTGTGTGTTTGTGTGTGTGTGTTTGTGTGTCCTTCTGTCCTTGTGTCATTCTTGTCCTCATCTGTCCTGGCTGATCAGTCCTCGCTGAATCACCCCTCTCGCCTCAGTTTCCTCTGTAGAGGCCAGAAGCAGCATTTTAGATCCTTTCTTCACAAGAATCTCAGTATTTGAAATATTGATTAAGCACTAGGTCAGCAGGTCCAGATAAGTCACATTGGGGAGAGCAATAATGTGGAAACAAAGCCAGGTAAAGCAGCTTTAATGGTAACGCTGATGGCTGAATCCACTGGGTAGGCTTTAAGGAAACATTTTTTTAACCTACAAATGAAAATAATTTGAAAACATGTTATCAGCCATTGTCTCTGTCAGCGGTTTGAATTCAAAAACCAAACTGTATTTTTCTTGTTGATTTATATTTCATTCCTAGATCCAAAGACCAAAGAGAGAAGCCATGATCTCTCTTTGTGAATACAGGCAGACAGTGGGAGTTATGTGAGCGTTTAAACCCTCAGCTCAGACTGAGAGAAGGGGGTTTTACATTATTTGGGATGGCATCCAGTGGAATCCTCACTGAACTCTGGAAGTCAATTTAGTAGCACAAAGCCCTATGATGCTCTGTGTGTAAACCACATTAAGCTCCCACAATCACAGTGAAAACAGTTACTTCCTCTGCCACAGGGTGCAGTAAAAACAGCACACTGGTTATAAAAATCTTTGCTATGTTTGTGGGTTTGCTGCATTATCATTTGCAATGATTTTGCCTGTTAGATAGGAACTAGATTAGATTTCTTTTGTGAGACATGAGAAGTAAAAAGATCGAGGCTGCACTGTCTTTCATGGGTTTTTATTTGTGACAAAAACTTACTTTTACTAAAGAATAAAAAAAAAACCTCAAAGCTCAGCTGACAATTATTGTGCATGAAAGGAACATCTGACCTGAACTGTGTGCAAGTGGCCTGGAAGGAAAAGGCCGCAACAGCAACAGCAGCAGCAGCTGGGACATTCACCTTGAACTACACACACAGACTCACATAGACTGACTCACAAAACAGAGCAGGGCCGAGGTCACAGTCAGTACAGGGAGCTATAGGCCAGAGGTTACATTCAGCCATCCGGGAGTGTGAAGGGATTTCTCCTTCACTAGGTCTTTAGGTAGAATGAGGCCTTAGAGTACACAGATCATTTAGTAGTAGGCCCTAAAAGCAATAGGTCCTTGTTTGTCTCTGGGATGGCTGAAAAATCACTGACAGCATCTAGCTGGTTATTCCCCAGACAGCAGTTGCCATGGCAACCAAGGTTGTAGTGCAGACCCTACGCATGATAAGCTGAGCCTGCGGTCGAGGGAGTAAATAGCCATGACAAACAGTCAGTTTCACATAAAGTCAGGGCGACTAAGTCCTCTCTAAGCAGGACAGATGTACAACGTGACTGAGGTAAAATGTGATTTAATGTTTAGGATTAAGTGCCCAGTGGAATCATTATTGACACATGTAAGGATGTGATGCGGTTCCATGAAGAAGAACTTTATTTGGATGTGTAGTAAGTAAAGGGTTACATTTGGCCACCTGGGTCCCCTGAAACTTAGTTCCATCAGCTCACAGATCACAGGGAGGTGTAGTCCAACAAGTGTGAGAGATTTATCTGGTTTCTCTGAGAAAACAAGCAGATTATATTCACATCTGACTGAAATATGATTCTGCTTTTTATTCCCTTCAGTTTCATTTATTAGAGTGTGTTAAAGTGGGACGCCCTCGACCCACAATACTATGTAAAACCTGTGTTGACCTACTTGGCAAAGCCACCACTGTGAACTGAAGACTTTAATAGTAATATATGAAGAAACATGACATTGCAGCTGCTTGCCGTCACCCTTGTTAAATTTTTAAGTAGTCACCCATAGGCATGATTATTATTAGCATAAATTAAGTCTGCACCCCCAGTTTTTGTGTGGTTAGTGAAGAGAAAGGGCCTGTCCACTCCTCATCTGATTAAATCAGAAGAAACCTGCATGAGGATGTTCATAAAATGATGCATTTGAGTGATATGATGCAATAATAATGACGTTTAAGTTCATTTGGCTGTTGTTTAGTGATGAAATTTCCAGTCTTTCCAAGAGTGACCTGGCATAGAGAGCAGTTACAGACCCAGTAGCAGAAAAATATTTCACAGAAAAACACAATCAATGTCAGTTGAAAAAAAGCAGTTGTTGTTTTTAGATAACTGCTATAAGAGAACAAGCAGGTTCACAGAGCAAAACTAAATCAAAGTCAGCTCCTTATTGAGTTTCCTGCATGGACTGCTCATTCAGCTTTAAATCATTTTGCAGTGAGTTTCACAGAAAGACATTAAAGACACAACATTTATTTCTGCTTATGAACAAACAGATGACAAAAAGACTAAGAGTCTGTTTGGCTCTGTGAGGCTACACTTAGGCACAGCAGTGCTTTCATATCAGCACAGTAACATGTTCACAATGACAGTGTGAGCATGCTGATGCCAAGCAGGTATAATGTTTAATATGTTCACTGTTGAGGCTGATGGAAATACCATTAGTTAAGGAGGTATTTGATCATAAACAAAGTTTATGCTTGTACCCAATTTCACGGCAATTTGTCCAAACGTTGCCAAGACATTTCACTCAAAACCACATGCGTCAACGTGCTGGTGGGGCCAACATCAGTAGGTCTTATCCTCAGGGGACCATGAATGTCTGCGCAAAATTTCACAGTAATTCATCTGATAGTTGTTGAGATATTTCAGTGTAAGTGTGTCTACATTGCCATCCGTAGAGCCTCGCTGCTAGCATGGCTAAAAAGAAACACATTGAACATAAACCAGGAGAAAAGCTGACAACTGTATAATCATAGATTTAATAAGGAAATTTCCATGCGCCAGGTAATTCTCATGACACCCCGTACTATAATCAATTTACATCGTGAATGTTAATGACAACGTTCCTTCAAGTCGAGTCAAAATCAGGCCAGGATCATTTCAAGGTTATAGGGAATAATGTAGTAACCCCCCACCCCCCCATCTCCCACCACCACCACCACCACCACCACAATAACCCACATAATGGATCACTGTCATACGAGAAGTTCCTGTATCCGGTTACTGCCTATAAATGACCAATCAGGATGATGCAAATATGAAAAAAAAAGAAGCCTCTGACAGGCAGCTGATTGGTCGTGGTGAGGCTGTTGGTGCGTGACAGATTGGGGGTGTCTGGTGCTCTGGGCTGCTGTGTGTGTTCATGCATGTACTTACAGTATGTGTGTGTATATGCGTGTGGGGTTTTTACTGTATGCATGTGTACAATATGTAAGAACCGACTAACCTTTCCTCAGAGGAAATATCACTGAGGCAAGGTGACATACAGTATGTATTACTGTCCTTTGTATGAACGGTGTGTGTGTGTGTGTGTGTGTGTGTGTGTGTGTGTGTGTGTGTGTGTGTGTGTGTGTGTGTGTGTGTCCTCTCCTTATTTTACATTCACACCGTTATGGTTCTATTTTAAACACACTCTATAGCTCGATAGCTCGACATTGTAATTGTATATTTCACTGCACCTGTAAAGGCTGGCACAGCCACAAAATAACTGGTAACAAGATAAAGCGCCATGCCCATTAGAACAACACACTACATTCTAGATTCTATGTTAAACTTATTTTTGTATTTACATTGAAATCGTAATGCACATAATAAATTATACAGCTGTTAGGTGTCCTTTTATATGTTTGTATTTTTCTGTTCCCAGAAGATTGAAAGTAAAAGTGTCTATAATCCTAATTTATTTATATTTATATATACCCTGCTGGTGTGTGTCCTTACAGTGTGTGAGGGTCTGATCATGACAAAAAATTGATGCATTGATCATAAATTGGGGTTTGAGGACTGTGTGTTGTGTCTTACTGGGTACTGAGAAATGATACTAGTTTCTGAGGATTTTCAAAGCATTTTATTATTTTAGTGAGTGAAAACTGACATGACTAACTTGTAATTGACTGTTGTGTATTAGACAGCACTATCATGCAGCTTTTTTCACCCTGTGTTTTCACCTCTGAGACAAAGTACACATGCAGGAAAATGAGCATTCAGTGAGATGTTAATCTACCATACAGTTTGGGTAATACATCACACTTCTGTCTGGAAGAAAAAGCCAGTGTAAAATCTGGCTACCTATTTCTGTCACTAATTAATGTGTGTTCCTTGACTCGAGTAATTATATTTCAGAGGTTTTCCCACACAGGAATTGAAATGACTGCAATGCTGAGAACAGGTAATTGATTTAGAGCTACGTTTACATAGCTGCGGCCTCAGTAATGCTACACATAATCAATCTGCTAGCTGCAACATCCTTTGGGATGTGTGGAACATGTATATTTTTATATTTTATTTACTTTATTTTATATTTTCTTAAACCATGAACTCTATGGAATAATGACAGGGAAGGTTCATTACACTCTCACATCAGACAGCTGCCCTTTACTGTGGAGCCACTGGTGTAGATTCAACCCTGCACTTACAGCATGATCCCGTAACCTTCCACGTGCTGTTTCTGTTACTGTCGTAGAACATTTCCAATGACTGCAGACGATACGTGGTAGTACTCAGTGCAAAGGTTAACTGCAATATAGTGTTGGCAGCAAGGGGCTGGATGTGTAAACTCAACACCTATGTAATTTTGAATGTTTGAATTTCCACAGGTTAACACACACACGCTAGAGTAAAGCCAGTCTAGATTACACACTGGAGTAATTAAAATGTGCTCCGTAACGCAAGTAATTAGCTCTCAAGAGGCTCCCACATTAAACTGAGTTAAACTGAGTGTAATACTGAGAACAGGTGAATGATTTAGAGATGTACATACAGTAGCTGTGGCCTCAATAATACTACACACCATCCGTCAGTGTAACCTGCTGGCTGCCAAAGCGTTTAAATCATTTGGGATGTGTGTTTTTTTTTTTTTTTTTTTTATATTTTCCTCTCCAAGCATCCAAGCATTGACTCTGTGGAGTAGTGACATTATGAAGGAAAGAAGGTTATTTATACACTCACACCTGACAGCTGCCCTTTACCGTGTGTATCTGTGGATCCACTAATGTAAACACAACCCGTGCACTTCATGTTTACAGTGTATCCTGTAACCTTTCACATGCAATTTCTTTTACTATATTGGAACGTTTTCATTTCTTATGATAAAACAGAAACAGCTGTAAATGTCGCACTAAGCCGTGTAGCCGCTGACACAGCAAACCTGCGTATGACCTGCTTAGTGGAAATTATACTCTTTACATATTCTCACTCATAAATTTTCTTCTAAGATAAAAATGCAGCTGAAACTGTAGACTAGGAAGATCTGGCTACACTTTATTTTATAGGTTTGTGAGGTTATATTTTTTTATGAATAAAGTTTTTGAAGAGAGCCATGTAATTAAAGATCAATAGAGAGTGATATGTTGGTAAACCTCCAATTAATTCCAAATGCTGAACTTTTTTTAATTCAAAAGTCAACAGGTCAGTTAATATAAACAAACATACAATTCGGCATTCATGAAGAATAGTTTCCAATAATAAATGAATAATGAAGAAATATTTACTTGGGTTTAAATGGAGTGGTTTTGCCTATTCGGTTTCTCTGCAAAATCAATATCAACACAACGAAATGAAAATAACAATCTCCCAATCTTCACTCTGTGATCAGTGTAATTAATACCAGAATACACAGTGTCTTCCAGGAGACTTTAAAACTTTGAGAAATTCTTAGGATATAACGAGGCTTTGAAATAAACATTTTTATGAACTCCATTTCATGTTTCCTATCACTACCTGCTAATGCGTTAGCCCAGTTTACACCAGTGTAAAGGGTCATCTGCTCTGATGATCAAAGTCCCCTGCTGTAGTCTTAACAGTGGAGCAGCTTGACTGCAGCTGTTGTTCAGGTACCATCACAGTGTTGAAGTGTTGACCCTCTGGTCATAAGATCTGTGTTCATCGTCATGTCCAGTCTATTCTGATGGCGATAGACACATTTTACCAGCCAGATAAAAATATAATGTCCTTTTTCTTTTATCATCTTTAATCTCACATCAATTAAACATAAGCTGTTTTGTGTGTGTGTGTGTGTGTCAGTGCCCACTTCTGATCGCTGGTGTCGTGTGCTTCTTGTGTGTGCTGTTCGTGTGTAGTGGTGTGTGTGTGTGTGTGTGTGTGTGTGTATACGTACCTCTGTCTGATTTTCTCTCATGGTTTCATGGTTTTCCCTTCTCTGTCTCTGTTCTGTTTTATTGATGAAGGCAGTAGGGACTTTAGGGGATGCCTGTTATTTCAGCTCTAGTTCCTTTGCACACATGCATACGCACTCACACACACACACACACACACACACACACACACACACACACACACACACACACACACACACACATACACGCACACATATTGCTGGCCTACTTTCCCAGGTCTTTTCCCTCTGGACGGGTTTGGAGCTCTGTGGTCACAGAGACAGATCACCATTCAGACACAACACACACGCACACACTCGCATAAACACACAACAGTGACACATAAATGCAAACAGGCACACAGACAGATGTGTGCAATTGCATAGACACACACACACACACACTCACACACACACACACACACACACACACACACACACACACACACACACACACACACACACAGGCATATACACAGGGACAAGGTCATTAATTAAAAGTAATAGTGTAGGAAAAAAAATCCTCAGCTGTTTACTCTCTTATTTGCTACTACAGATCTCTCGTTTGTCTCAAGTCTTTATCAAATTGTCAGTAGAAATCTGTAAGTCAACCTTAATTTTGTTTTTTCTAAACTCTGAACTGATTTTGTCACACAGGGTGAAATGTGATAATATTTATAAAATATTCTGTAAAAATAAAATGTGGTTACTTATTTAGTACAATGTAAAAAATAAAAGGCATTTATTCATCAATGTCACCAAATTATTACCAGTCAGTCATGTCTCTGCAGCCTGTAGCAGACTGGGTCTACACACTGAAGCTGGGTTTATCACTGCTCTAGATGTATGTGTGTAACGTGAAGCTGCGTCTCTCTGTCTGCAGAGCGTTGTTCGACTACGATGGAAGTGCATCTGATCTGAGTGCGCCCAATCAGGCCCTGCCGTTTCACTTCGGGGATATCCTCCACGTGAGCAGCGCTGGCGAAGAGGAGTGGTGGCCCGCCCGTCACCTCAGCCCCCCGCCCCCGAACTGCCCCGAAGTCGGGGTCATCCCCAGCCGCAGGAGGTCAGAGTTCAAAGGGTGTCTGACGGGAGCGGGTGGTTGATTTTATTGAATCAGTCAACTCAAGTCTGTGGCTACACTCACATGGCATACTCCTCTCACTGCAACATATCTATCTCTGATTTGAGCTTACTAAAGCCATCAGCGCTGTTGCTGTTTCCTGCTTCCACACTACTTCTGCTCTTTATATAGCATTTCAGCTAGCCCCACCTCCACCCCATTATCCAGCTGTAGTATCCCAGTCTACAGTGTTATTCCCATGAGGGAAGTAAGTATTGTTGTTGCCCGCTCCTGGCTGTCCTGAGCTTGGTGAGGTGGCAACAAGGTCAAAGCCTGACGCCAAACATCAGCACTGTTGTACATCCTCTACATTCACATTAACAATTCCACATGAGTTGGCTGACTGAATTGATGCTTTTATTTCTTAAGTCCTCCTCTGATCCGCTCTGTGATGTTGGTGCAAAATGTTATCAACATAAAGACATCAGGGCCTTTTGATTTCAGCTCCTCACTTTCAACAGTTTCAAATTAGTTTCAGTTTACATGTCATTTTACTGTTAGCTCATAACCCTGCAAGCATCGTCATCATCATGTAGAATCTGCTGAATGTAAACCTGTGAAGAGGTGCTGACCCTGTCTCTCTCTCTCTCCCTCCACCGTGGAGGAGGTGACAGAAAGATAAGTGAAAGAGGGAAGGAGGGATTAGAGGCAACAAGGGTGAGTGGGAGTAAGTGAAGGAGTGAGCGAACGGAAGATGGGTGGGATGGATGTAGAGACTGTCACACAGGGGTATGGACGGTGGGGAATTAATAGACTGAGGCGTTAGAATAGAGGCTGGCTGAGAATCTGGGGTGTTAGAGGTGGGTGCATTAAGGTAATAGAATAAATGTTAATAAGTGTTAAAATAAAAGACCATTATAACTTAACTTAGCGTAGGCTGAGGTTTTAAGATATGAAGTATTAAAGAAGATATTGGAACACACCCACCAGAGGTTTGGGTGTCATTAGAGGCATTAAAACAGCAGATATTAGAACATGCAGTATATTGAATTGTTAGAGGCTGATGTAATTTGATATGTGGTATGAGTAATGCGAAGTTAATTAATGACATTAGCAGTCAGTGTTTTGATATCGGCTGTTTAGCTGTCCTCTGTCTGTCCCTCCTCTCCTCTCTTTTCCTTGTCTCCTCCTCCTGCCACCTCTCTTCTATTCTCCTCTTTTCTCTGCATATATACCAGCTCCCCTCTTTCACCTGGCGTGGCCTCCTCTCTGCCTTCTTCTTTTTCTCCCCTTCTCTCCTCTCTACATCTCTTCCTCTCCCCTACTTCTATGCTCCTCTCCTCTTCCTCCTGTCATCTTTACTTTTCCTCTCCTCTCCTCTCCTCCTCCTCCCCCACTCCACCTCTTCTCCTGCTGTTCTCTTCCTCTTCTTTCCGTTACTTCTCCTCTCCTCCTCTGCTCTCCTCCCTTCCCCTGTCTTCACCTCCTCCTCCTTGTCCGCTTCTCTCTTCCACTCCTCTTCATCCTGTCCTGTTTTTCCACTCCTCTTTCTGTGTCCTCTCCTCCTCCTCCTCTCTTCATTCTTCTCTTCCTCTATCTGTTTCACCTGCAGCCCCTTCTCTCTTCACCTTTCTCCTCTCCTCACCTTTCTCCGCTCCTCATCATCTTCTTGTCTCCTCATTTCTTCCTCTCTTCCTCTTCCTTCCCTCCCCTCCCCTCTCCTCTCCTCTCCTCTCCTCTTCTTCCTCTTCTTCCTCTTCCTCCTCTTCCTCCTCTTCTCAAGTAAAATAACCAATAGTTTTTGGAAATTACATTTTAATCATGTTCTTTGTAAGAAGGAAAGAAGAGAAGAGGACTATTGAAAGTAAAAAGTAAAGACAACTTATTTGCTGATGCAGTGTAAACATGCTGTGGTGATGCTATTGTTTGGTTGTAAAACCTTTCAGAGCTGAGCTGTCGTCAGGGATTAAAACTGAAGCACGGCCTTTTTCCTTTCATTATTATAGTAAATTCTGCTGTGGTCCACAATGCTGCTGGTTTGTTTTCAGTGACAGTTGTTCGGCTGTTTACACACATTAGGAAGCTAAACGCTGCATTATTGTAGACTTTTGTGCAAAAACACATCTGACCTCAATTATAAAATGAGGCTTCCAGAAAGAAACAGGCCCCTTAACTGAGACACTGGAGATTCACCTTATTTGAAATTCAAGCAGCGAACATGATCAGCAGCAGGAAATGGTCCAGCACAGGAAGTGACAAATCTAAATTTAAACCTGCGGGACAAAAATGTCTCCAAAGCAGGAGCAAGCAGACTGTCTATGAAGGGAAAATGTCTTTTCTATCCCATGGCTGACGTAGTTCGCTCTTGTCGCTGTCTCTTATCCCTTTGCATTTATTATAAGGTAATCGCAGCCCATTCAGAACAGTGAACATGAACGTGCTATCTCCTCTTTACTGTCAATTTACAGAATATCTGGATATTAAACGCCACAATTCATAGTGATGCTCATAGATGATGTACAGCAGATCCAAAAATAATTAAAGTATCATAGGCTACAAAATTAATCTCTGAATAAATGGATATTGTGTGATATTTTGGCTTTTGTTTTTTATATTTTTAGAGATAAGATCTGATATAATGGATGTGAGGTTAAACTAGTTTCAGAGTTTCAGAGAGCCAAATATTTTAGAATACGTCATGATGATTCTGTCTTTACAGTTTTGATCCACGGGGGAAAAATCATCATCATCAGAACTCATCATTATTTTAGTGTCAACAGTCACTGTTGTGTAGGCAGCGTTTAAGCATGATGAAACTAAACCACTGAAAGATGAGATGATGTCTAAATGTTACAGGAAGGTCACATGATGTTTCTGAAATGTTTAAATGCAAATGTTCCTGCATATACCTGTCACTAACTACCATTACCTACTGTTGCTTTCTCATCCTGTCTGTTTTTGGCATCTGTCCCTTCTCAGCATTTTTCTTAATATTTTTTTTTTTTCCTTCCTTCCTTCTGTCTTCCAGGGCAGAGAAGAAGGAGAGGTCGAGGTTAAAGACGGTCAGAGTGACGAGGTCTCAGGACAGATCGGTGAGCAGCAACTTGTCATAAAAACCTTTAAGGGCTGTAATACTTAATAAAATTAAACAGAAACCACTATCTGTTTCAAAGGAGCAATTTGTCACAGCATCCATCTGATTACATTCCAATTTAAGAACCACAAAATCTATTATGAGCAGAATAATTCTCAACTACTTGCTGCAAGTTTGGAAACCAGTAGTTTCTGGCTGTGCAGTCATATCATCGGTTCATGCTGTCTATGAAAGCAGAACAGTGAAGTCATAAGAAATAGCAAGTCTCCCTTTTCAACCATAACATTGGAAATAAAAGCTGAAATAAAGAATTAACTCTGTTTATGAGAGTTTGCTATTTTTCTCTTGTGTGTGTTAAACATTCTCAAATTACAGCTGTTTAAGGTAAATGTTGGCAGATTAATAAAAGTGCAGAACCGTCTGTTGTGCAATAGCTGCAATGCATTATCTTAAAAAAAAACTGCAGACCAAGATAAACCGTGAATACTATATAAATCTCATTATAACTTATTTTCCGTGCGCTTCAGTTTTAAGATGAAAATTCAATGTGAGTGTGTTGCAATGCTGTTAAAGCAAGTGCAGGAGGTGGTTTTTCTTGTCTTATTTACCTGTCCACATAACTACAGTTATTTGTATTATTCATCATATTTAAGTTGTCTTACTATGAGATCACAACAACTGATTATGTTAAAGATTATAATTAGTCAGTAATTCACCTTTAATCCAATATATTATGGCAAGACGAGATATTTCTGTTGTATATTTTATACAAAGGGTAATTTCAGATCAGGGATTTCTGGCACAACCTCATCTACCTCCAAAAATCATGGAGAAAAGAAATTGTTTTAAGAGATAAAAAGTCTTTATTTTATTTTGTTTTATACTTTGTTGTGAGACCATGGTAATTGAAAGTGCCTCACATAAATCATTGAAACTAAAATAATCACAAAATGTCCACCTAAAAATAAAATACAAGGATAGAGCTGCAGCACAGGTCTAAAAGCAGCTAAATGTTTAATTAAGAGCAGAGGCTGAAAATGTATTCCAAGCTCAGGAAGTACAGCAGAGCAGCTAAAAGCAGCTTCAACAGGGAGTGTCATCCTAAGAGAAACTATAGTCGATCAGTTCAGCAGGTGCCCAAAAGCATTTGTTTGCATTTAACTGACAAAACCCTCCAGCAGCCGTAGGAATTAGGACACTGGTCCATCAGGAGCAAAGGAGGAAAAAGTTTGACGTTGTTAAAGAGCCTCAATGTCCATGACTCATTTGTAGTCAACACATCAATGAGTCGAAGAATTCCTGACTAAAATATTTGAAAGTCAGTCACAGCCTCTCCATTTGTTTCCAGGAAAAATGTTAATTAAAGATTAATTTAAAAATACACTAACTAGTGATATTTGTGATGTAGAAAGTTGCTCTCTAAGTTCAGATGCGAGGCGACGACGTGACTTTAATCACGCTTCACACAGCGTGACGGTGAGAGCTGACACACGGGTCTAACACAAGCTATTGATATCACTGTGTTGTCAGCTCCCTCTGTTTTCCTCTCACCGTGTGAATCAGCAACTCTGCATGGTGAAGAACTGATAATTAAAAATGATCACACACACATACTCACACATGCTGTATCTCCTGGCACAGTGCTGTGAGAAATATGCAATTAGTCTAACTGTGTGTGTGTGTGTGTGTGTGTGTGTGTGTGTGTGTGTGTGTGTGTGTGTGTGTGTGTGTGTGAGAGATGACTAGAGAGCCCATGAGCTTTCAAATAGCGATTCTGCTGATGACAAGATACTGTTATGATCATCTTGGGTATGATGATTAATGCCATATATCTCTCTCTCTCTCTCTCTCTCTGTCTCTCTCTCTGCAGGACCAGGATGATAAAGGTAGGTCTTCTCTCCATCAGTGACACCTGCTGGTCAGTACATGTGACTCCAGCTCCACTGTGTAGCGTGCACTCCACCTCCTCCGCAATCTTCTCTGTTTAAATCCTCCTTCAAGTTCCTCCTCCTCACTCCCGTTCCTGGATGGAGGAAGAGGAACACGATGGACAGGGAGAAACGGACACTGTGATGTTTGAGGTCACTCTCCAGGATAGTTCAGTTCAATCAGTTCTGACAACATACAAAGAGTATAGCTGTAAGTCAGCCAACAACCAAAAGTGTTGCCATCTTTAAAACTTCAAAGAAAAAGTCCACAAAACAAACGTGTTTCAAATGTAAGTGATGAAAGAAGAAATCCACGGTCCTCATCCTGTGAAAAAATGTGTTCAAAACTTTCTGAGTTGGACTAATTAAGTGATTTATTTTGTCCCGATGGCTTAGGAAAGGATCTTTATTTAAGTAAAAGCAGCAAAACCACAACTTAAAAATACTCAGTTACCAGTAAAGATTGTGGATTTAAAGTCCTACTTCACTGCAGCCAAAAAACGATTAGTTACAGTGTAACAGCAGTATTTTAATATTGTGGCAGGCTGCTGAGAGCTTATTGTACTCATTGTATATACATTTTATTACTTTATAGCAATGCCTTGTATTTTATATGCTCCTTATAGGTTTTTAATTTGTAAAAAGTATTGTTTTTCTCTCTGAGATGTAGCCGAGTAGACGTATAAAGTAGCATAAAATCTAAATACTCAAGTACACCAAAGTACTTGAATAAATGTTCTGGGGGGTTTTCCTTCCGCACAGAACTCATCCATTTATTTCCACATAAAGTCAGATTCAGGTTTCTCTTTTCATCCAGTGGAAAATGCAAACTGCACAACATTTAATGACAGCAAATGATTTTGTCTGACAAAGTAAGAAAGGAGCATGTACTGTTTTTTTCTGGTTATCTCAGTTTGGACTTGAGACCTTTTATAAAATCCTGCATTACAAACTGGAGGTGTAGGGTTGACAGAAGAGGGCATTTAGGAGGTGGGAAAGTCTAATAAAAGATGCTACTGCTGGTTATTATGGGATGTTGTAGGATCCAGTGTTTGGAGTTTGAAGTCAGAATATCTGAACCTCTGCTGCTTTGATTTTGACTATTCTTTTTTTTTTTCCTTTTAATATGTCTCTCACAAGTCTCCCAACTTTGTGGAAGTACAACCCTAAATTTCTGGAGTGACCCTGAAACATTCCTCCTTTATTACATTTGGAAAAGTACTAAATTTCTGGCTGCTTTTCAGAGGAATCCTCTGGACTTAGTTTAACCTTTCCTAATGTAATAAAGGAGACATATGAAAGGAAGTAATTAAATGTATTTTCTTTTGGAGACTGTAATGTTCCGGTGTCCACATACTTTTGGCCATGGCACACATGTTTTGGTAGGGATTGTACAATGCATAAATGAATGGAAAGAGACTGTGCTGCTGACTGTGTGTGTGTGTGTGTTTTTTAATTTTATAAGTTAATGTGTGTCAGTGATTGTGTGATATAGAAAGAATGGAAATGTATGTGTTTGTTTGTATCTGTGTTTGTATGTGTGTTTGTTGCTGACTCTGACCTGTCTTGTCCTTCCAGAGCTGGTAACCTCTGGCACCAGCGATAGTGAGAGTAGTTCCTGTAAGTCTAGACCCTCCTCTGTCTTTCTTTCTCTTCCTCTCTCTCTCTCTCTCTCTCTCTATCTCTCTCTCTCTCTCTCTTCCACTGCTCACACTTCTTTATTTTGTTTTTTACTTTTATTTGAACCTCAGCTACTTCATGTAGCTGCTGGTGTATGTGTGTGTGTGTGTGTGTGTGTTTATCCGTGTGTCCTTGTGGGAGTGTCATGCATACATGCACATGTGTATTTGTGTGTTGTAATTATTGTGTTTTCATGTGCATGTGAGTGTTTCTGTGAGTGTGTCTTTTGTGTGTGCGTGCAAGTTAGCTTTCTCTGCTTCTCCAGCCGGCTTTTCCAGAGCTGTTGAAGAAGTGTAGTCAAAAGTAGAAAAGGATGAGGGTGTGTTTTGATGTCGGTAATCCCGTCCACTGTGCCTCTAAATGTGACCATCATCTTTATCTGTCCAATCAGCTGGCCAGGAGGAGACCGTCCTCACCTACCAGCCTGTCATGCAGCAGGAAGGTCAGTCCTTAACTCAAATATATAATTTATTTTAGTTTGACCCCCTTTATGTTATTCAGTCTGTGGAAGTATAGTTACAGAAGACACTCACCAACACACGGTACTGTACATCGATTTGATAAAAAGACACAAAATACCATCTTTTTTTCATCTGTAGAGTAAAACTCTTCAGTTATATATGGAAATTTTGTAATAAAAATACCATTTGGGTCATAAAAGCATGGATACAGACATTGTGAAACTAAAGTAGTAGTCATTAGAATTAGCCAGACATAAATAGTTCATGCTGTGCAGCCAAACTTTGTTCAAACAGACAGAGAATTATTGTAAAATATGATGGAGTTTACAAACCTTCCAAAGATATATATGATAGGTGGTTTTTTTGGCCTGTTGGGGGCAGCAGAAACAAGCTGTAAACACAACACTGACATATTGTCACCTATAAAGTGTGTTATGGTCAACATGTAACAAGCAAGTCAATTTACAAATCTGGCAGACATGAAGCAGCATTAGCATTAATTTAGGATCGTGTTTCTGTCCTACTGATGAATGTAGCTCTCTGTCTTCACCAACTCCTGAGGTAAATATCTGGCTCTTTAGCTGCTAAATGGGTCAACTTTGTCTGTGCACTGTTTGGTACTGAGCAGGTAGTGCACGCTGTGTTTATCAGAGTTTTGTCACTGAAAGCAGTGACAGTGAACTAAAACTGCAAAACCAGAACAATAAGCTAAAAGAGGCTAAAAAGCTCTGTAGAGCTGAAGGGAGCTGCAGCGTCAGATGATAATTCTCTGTGGACTGTACAGTCACTATGAGCAGTACCTTTCACGTTACACAGTAATTTGACCCATCATTAATATAGAAATGTAATTAGTGCAGCTTTAAAGCTACTTCAACAGAATGAAAGGAGGAAAATGGACAGCATCATTTAGCTAATCTTATTGTGTCTCTTTTGTATTAATGTGCTTTGCTTTGCTTGTCATTTTTTTAGTTAATTACACACGGCCAGTCATTGTGCTCGGACCAATGAAAGATCGGATCAACGATGACCTCATCTCTGAGTTCCCTGATAAGTTTGGCTCCTGCGTCCCACGTGAGTTTCTGAACTGTGTGACAAATCTGAGTGGTGACCTTTAAAACACAGAAACTCTGCATATGAGACGCACGCGTGTGACCTTCGCTCACATTACGAAAACTATAAAATCCTGTTTATGGTGCTGGAATGAACGCTGACACTTCAGCCAACATTGATGTGTCTATACATGCACATTTTTATGACCTCACTTAAAGTTGATGTTTAGCTTCTTTTAGTTTTAGCTTAAAACGAAACTGTAAAGAAAATATGACATGACAGACAGTTACCTACTGCTTTTATTAACTGTCACTATTCCCAGACACTTTGAGGAGATGACTTTGTTTGACAGGCAGCTTGAAAATGAAAACTGTAACATTAGGTTCCAGAAGAGCTGTGAATTGAAAGTTAAAGGTCAAATCAAAAATTAAAATGAATAAATCCAGAAAATATATGTAATTTTTTTTTTTTAAGTTTTAAAACCTGAAAAACTTTTGTTTCAAAAAGGTTTCTTGGAAGTGAACAGGGAGCTGGAACACCTCCATCTTTACATTATCCTTTTTTTTTTTACAAGATATAAGAATAAAATATGTAATGAAATATATGCATGAGTTGAATATAGAGTTTGAGATACAGATACATTTATACTTTTTATTTATTATTATTATTATTATTATTATTATTTTATTTTAATGATGTTTTTCTAGAGAAAAGTACATAACTTCAGCAAAATATCCCAAATTAGTTATGCAATAAAGTGTCATAAAAAAACTAATAAAAGATAATAATATGATCATATTTATTTTAAATAATACTCTGGTCTGTGTGTTACACCTCTGATCTTCAGACACAACGCGGCCGCGGCGAGACTACGAGGTGGACGGCAGAGATTACCACTTCATGTCCTCCAGAGAGCTCATGGAGCGAGAGATCCAGGAGCATAAATTCATCGAGGCTGGACAGTATAACAACCATCTGTATGGAACCAGCATACAGTCTGTCAAAGAAGTCGCTGACAAGGTGAGACACTGAGAAGGCATGGAAGAGAGAACATGAGGAGAGAGGACAAATAATCCAAAGGACAGAGGAAACAGGATGAAGGGATCGATAGAGGACAGAATACAGAGTTGTCTAATTCTCTCTCTCTCTCTCTCCCTGTCTGACTCTTATGTCTCTCTACCAGGGTAAACATTGTATACTGGATGTATCAGGCAATGCGATAAAGCGTCTCCAGATGGCAGGCCTCCATCCCATTGCTATCTTCATTTGCCCACGCAACGTTGACAACATCCTGTAAGTGACATCAATAACAACAACCTCGCCATGAGGTTCATTTAGTCACAGCTTCCTCTGGAGCTTTTGTCGGTATCACATGGTGCTAGTCAGAAAATAGACTTTCAAGCTCTACCTTTAAACCAACATGATGAGAGATGATATAAGTGCATGTGCAGCTCCGTGACATCTGAACAGGCTCCTAATATTAATATTGTATATTATATCATGCAATTTAAGCAACATCCTGTTAGTATCACCGGCAGCAACGTGTTCTATGAGTATGAAGAACATCAAATTTTAAGCACATACAACATACAGGAGCATATTTGTACATGAACATCAAAGTAAGTTGTAATCCTCTGTAAGTAAAAATCATAACATCCTTCAAGCAACTTAAATTGGAACTTAAACAAAACATGAGCAAACACCTGTGAGTAACATTTATGAGTTGGAACTGACAAATACCTTTACCGTCCTACTATCATGTCACACTGCAAAATGACCTCTTATGTTCAAGTGTAATGATGAAAGAAATGTATTGAAATCAAGTTATACTGAAAAATTACAGGTCTCATGATACAATTCGGTATGACACATTAGTCAGTGTTATTCTGTCCACCCAACTCTTACATGCAATATGATGCATGTATAGATCAGCTCAACATGAGCCTATGAACAAACAATAATACTGTTTATTTGTTTTGTTTATAAAATATGTGTTCGATTTTTTTTTTCTACAGCTTACCTCGAACATACTGTCGTCTAATTGCATCTTGATCTGTTATTCTCATTCGCTCACCACTGTGTGTTGAGGCAGTTCTACTGTAATAAAGGTTAAATATCATCATGTCATGTGAGCACTGCTGAACGTCACACTGAGGTCAATGACGTTTCTGAGAGTTCATGATCATGGAAAAAATGTTTTCGAATCATGTTCTGTTCTTTTATATTGAGTCTCAGTTCATATTCGTGATGCTCGTCTGTCTCTCCAGGGAGATGAACAAGCGTTTCACTGAGGAGCAGGCGAGGAAGACCTACGACAGAGCGGTCAAACTGGAGCAGGAGTTCACGGAGTACTTCACTGGTTAGTTACTTGCAAGCACACACCCGTGTGGTTCTGTACAGACACAAGCCAGAGCTGCTTTCTAACATACACCTTAACCCTTTAATGTTCTGAGAAATTTCTGTAACGGCTCTATGTGAGAACAGGAGCAGCAGTCAGTGTCATAGCCAGTTCATCAAATGCAAAGATCATGAGGAAGTTTGTGAGATACTTTTTCCACCGCAGCTCTCATAGAAACAAAAGCAGCAACAGTTTTGCATAATAGGTATGGCTGTAAAAGTATGGTTGAGCAATATGACTGAAATCATTATGACATTATTGGGGATATTGTTCACAATTAATACATTGTATATCAGCATCTTGCAAATATATGCTAAATCAAATATAAAATACACGGATGTTCAAAGCAATAAACCGATGCGTTACATCAGACTGAAATATGAACTTCTAAAAGTTACTGTTAGTATTTACCTGCGGCTTGCTAGGATTCATTTCTTTGGACTGCAGACCTGTGTATAACTTTAACATTATGAAATCATATTACCCCAATACTATTCAGCTGAAAGTCAATGAGTGATGATAGTGAAGTCTAAAAATAAATTACACAACATTACTACATTTAAGAAATATACAAAAAGTGAGCAAGAAAAGCAGAGGAGATTCAGAAGATGGGAGATTTTCATAAGCCAGACATGACTGATCCAAGTTCCAAGTAAATTTAAAAATAAAAAAAAACGTTCTCACAGATTGATTAACACACACAAGCATTAACAGAAGCCTACCTACCTGTGCCCCATACGTAAATATATGATCCATCCCATTCAAATAGGACATAAGATGTAGCCAGATCTTATAAAACTTTGTGCTTAATACCAATCAATAACTGATTTTTTGGTCACTTGGGGACAGTGGAGACAAGTTGTGATCAAAGCACTGATGTGTCACTTTTTAAGTTGATATGGTGAACTTCTCAAACAGTTGTTTATTTACACTTCCAGCCATTACAGAGCTACATTATCATTCATTCAGTTGTGTCTCTGGACACCTGGCTTATGCAAGTCCGATGCTTACTCTCTTTTAGCTCTGTTTTTGGTCTCTACCAAGTCCTGATTAGCTGATTAAGCTGCTAAATGCTCCTCTATATTCAGCAGCTAGTCGCAGACTGCGTCTTTCTGCAGCTAATTGCTGGAAACAGCTGCATGGTGCAGGCGAAAACAACTCAATGAGAGTGAACCAATGAACAGTTAAATATAGCTTTAAATATAAAGCTCTGTAAAGCCAAAGGCAGCTGCAGATTCAAGTGATAATTCTCAGTGGGTTCATCACTATGTGTGTCACATTGTTTTCACTTCATCATTTGAAACATGATTATTGTGAAAATGATTATAGCCGCTTTAAGTCCTCTGGAACCACCCCACATATAGCCACCCAAGGGTTAAGGCCACATGAACAATCTTGACACTGAGGTTTCCCAAAGAGAAGTTGCATACTGTATGTAAAGAACATACATAGTGATGATGATCTTTAAAGGTTACTTTTCATTTTGATTATAGTTCATTTTTCCATGGGTTACGGGCAATATGTTTTGGTAGTTATGCCAATTGGTCATTGATTTCTCTCCGTCTCTCTCCCTCTCTCTCTCTCTCTCTCTCTCTCTCTCTCTCTCTCTCTCTGCTGCAGCTATAGTCCAGGGCTCGTCTCTAGAGGAAGTGTACTCGCAGGTGAAGCAGATCATAGAGGAGCAGTCTGGTCCTTACATCTGGGTACCAACCAAGGAGCGACTCTGAATAAACACACACATACTACATGATCACACACACACATCACTCTTTCAATACTTCCTACTTCTCTGATTTTCTATTATCAGCCTGCTTCCTCTCTTTCTCTCTCTCTCTCTCTCTCTCTCTCTCTTTCTTTCTCTTACATACACATCACCACCAACACACACATACACACACAAACACACACACACACACATACACACACACACACACACACACACACACACACACACACACGTGCACAAGCACATAAAATTGAACGAGGCTGGGACTATCTGGGACTGCTACTTCCTGAAGAGGGAGGAGCTCATGTCTGTCCAGCAGCCTATTGGTGGATCTTCCTACAGCTCAGTTCCTTAATGTTTAAGGAGGTGGTTCAAATCAAGGCGACATGTACCATTATCTGATTTGATTTCATTATTGTTGTTCTTATTGTTGTTGTCGTTGTTGTTTTCATATTAACGAAGGGTAATGCATTCATGTATGGGTTTGTAATGATAATATTGTCACCAAGAGGCAGACTTTTGCACGCTGTAGCTTTAAGAGCATGTTTTTGGGACAAAATCTTGATCTCCCTCCCCGTCTGTCTGTCTTTCCTCATGGCATCGCTCCGGTTTCTCTCTTTCTTGTCTTTTTCTATCTTTCTCTCATATCTCATCCCTGGTTCCAGACTGTCAACAGTCTTTAGAAAACTTTATAATGTGCCCCAACATTTCGGTTTAAAGGGTCAGAATGAAACAATATTGCAATTACTCTTTAAAGCTGTAGCAAGAAAATATATCCTAAGTAACATAGGATTTCTACAATTCAGACACTTGCTAATATTTATTGTAACAAGCAAAAAATCAGAATTAAAATAGAAAACTAAATTAGACTGCATTAAATTAAACAAACATGATTAATCACATACATGTTCAGAGCAGGAACAGCCAATCAGAGATCATCAATTAAAAAAATCATTAAAAATAACTTATATCTCACTCAGTGATATGTTATGTTATGTCATTTTATCCTTGCCAACCTCAATATCTCTAATAGTAATTAACATGTGAGATTAACAACAACAATCCAATATATTATATTTAAATTGGTTGTGATTGAAACTAACAGAAACCCAAAATGGAGCAGAGAGGAAATTCTCCATCTGGTAGATGATCTACAAGCAAGATAGAATGTTAGCAAGGTAAAATTAGATAGATACAAATGAATAAAACAAAGATAAGAAAAGAAAATAGAAGATAAGTAGAATTTAGTGCCACACTGACAGGTGGAAATTGATTGATTGCAGTTTTATTCTTTTTGATTGTAACTCTGTATGAAGAAGGTCATAACAGAAGAAGAGGAAAAAGTGGTGTAAAATCCTACTAAATGTTCAAATCAAATGCACATGCTTCAGCCAACATATTGCTCATTATGACCAATAATGTTTCATACAATCCCTCCAAAAGCAACTGCATTAATGAGTCAGTTAATTTTTAAAACGAATGGGTTTATAGTGAATGATTGATGATTTGTTTTTCTTACGTCCAACATATGACTTTTGCTGTTTGATAAATACAGGTTCAGATCCTCAGTTTAAGAAACTTGGGTTTGTATCGCTCAAGTCTTCATCCCACAATGGTTTTTCTGCCTTTCCTTCCTTCTCCTCCTCTCTCGCCTCCTCACCCCTCTCTCTCTCTCTCTCTCTCTCTCTCTCTGTCTCTCTCTCTCTCTCTCTCTCTCTCTCTCTCTGTCTCTCATGCCTTCATTTCTCTCTTCCTCTCCACATCCACACTCACAGTGTGACATTAGTTGAGCAACAGTGTATCATCGTCTTCATCAACACTATCATCACAATCATAATCATCAGCATCATCATTATAGCTTACCTTCTTCTCTGTAGTTGCACTAATGAGGGCTGGTTTCTTAAAAGCATCTTCGTGACAGAGCTGATACCATCCCAGTGTTTCTGGTATTGATGGATATGTGATACACTCACTTCTCCTTCAGCTAATTCCCTGAGTTATTCTGCTCGTTTGAACGTGCTGAAGAGGTCAGGAAACATTTTTTGGTAAAAGGTATTTGCAGTTATCTCATTTGCTGTATTTCATGCTATTGTTGAGTAGTTAAAAACATCAGATGCACCCCTCTGGTGAAAGCTACTGTCAGCTACTGTATTAGCTCTGCAGGTAACAGTTTCGTTTTTTTCATGCTGGATTTATTTGAGCCATCAGTCCCAGCACGTATGAAAGACACGTGAAACTAGTGCCATTTGTGACTGCAGGACTCAGGACTTTACTTTGTGATTTGGTCAAATACCATTCCTTACACAAACCTTTGAGGAAAAATCTAAATGTTATTTTTTTTTACCCATCATCCAGCAGTGGGTTGTATCTTCAAGGGTGTCTGCAGTTTGCCCACAAAAAATAAAATGTTTGAACGAAGGTAAACTACCATTTAATTCCAGCGTTTCCACAGACTGCACCAATTATTGCTGTGGACTTAAAGGTGCCCAGGAGAGCTTTTGATCATAAACTTTAAAATGCAGTGAGTGTTTTATTTTGAGGAATAGTTTTCCACTTTATAGGTGCTACAACATGCAGCTTTTGTCAGTCATGTGACCTTCGCTTTTGCACAACTGTTGGCTGTAGTGGAGTTTCACCAGTCTAACTCACTTCACAAGTAACATACTATATTAAACTTTACTTGCAGTGAACACTAAGAAAAATAGAAAACTTGCTATGTTGTACACAGTAAAACACAGGCCTGGATTGAAACCTATCTTGAAAACGACCATCAGTTTCAACACTGCAGCTGTTTTATTGTCATGTTTTTTTGTTTTTTTTTATCAATTCACATGTTGTGCTAAATCATTTTAGTAGCTTGAATAGTGTTATTGAGCAATGTTTTCACCAATGGGCCCCTGTTTTTTTTTTAAATCATGCATCTTGCCTTCGGTTTCATGCTATACCGCTGATCGACAGTCAGTGGCAGGATCAGCAGTGAATGTAAACGTAACTTTTGTCTGTTTACACAAAAACTCCACACGGCATCTTTAATGAACATTCCAGTGAAGAAGAAAAATGGGACATGGCAGTCCGTGGAAATCAGCCGAATATTTTATCTTCCCATGCAGAAAGTAGACGGAAGATGCAAACCTCTGCTGGGTAACGGGTAAAAAAAATGACGATCTAGCTTTTACCTTAAAGTGGCTATAATTAATATTTTTATGATAACAATGTATCGAATGAGCAACAATGTGAAAATAATGTGACAACTGCTCATTGTGATGAACCTACAGAGAATTATCATCTGAATCTGCAGCTGTGCTCAGCCGTACAGAGCTTTATAGTGAGTTTCAACTCACTATTTAGCTGTCTTCAACTTTTCTGTTTTGGTTCACTGTCCCCGTTCTCATCAGCTACTTTAAGCAAAATACTAGCACTAGCTGCTCAGCACCAAACAGTAGGCAGATACAGTTAGAGACCAGCTGGTGACACATAGTGGAGAATATAGCAGCTAAAGAGCCAGATATTTCACTAAGAAGTTGGTGGAGACCAAAAACAGAGCTAAAGGAGCATAAAGTCACAAACGGGGCTAAACCGAAACAAATGACAATAATCTCTGTTGTCGAGTGAAACATTCGAGATACCAAGATGCTTTTGGTGACACAGCCCCCTGTATGGACCTTGTCAGCCAACCACTTCCCATGTCCACCCTCAACCCCCTGAGGCGACTCCTCCAAGCTGACTGGAGACCAGAGCCGTGCAGAGAGACTGTTCTGTCAGCAGAGTAGCTCTTAGACCCAAATAATAAATAGTTTTGACCACATGTGTTTTGAAAGCTTTAATATCTCCTCACAGAATGTTCAGCTAAACTAAATTTCTGTCCAGCTATAATCCTCTGTATGAATCGAGTAGATCAGTGGTGTTTGTCAGTTGACAGAACCAGACTCTCTGGGTGACTCTGGCTGTGTGTTTTAGCCAGGGGACCATGCCACTGTCTGTTAGAGTAAAGCACTGATGCAAAGAATCTATTACAGAGATGGATCTATATCTAACATATTATAATATTTATCCCTGCTCTAACTGCCTATTTTGGTACAAAAAAATAAATAAATAAAAGTCTTTATTGAGATTTACTGAAATCCCTCGACCAATGACCAGACATGATTTTTTCTTTTTGTGTTGTGGAATGTGTATGAATGTGAATATGACATAATAACTGTAAATATGAATATATTTTCCTTCACTTTCACTTCTACTGCAGATTCGTAGTGGTCCGTACTGATGTCTTGGTTTCCACATCAAAGCTTAAGGATTTCTGTGTGTCAACTGCTTTATGCTTATGTAATAGAAAATGTATTTAAGGATCTCCACCTCTAAAGCTTATTAATGGACATGATCACATAATATAACTGACAACAGTTTACAAACTCTAAAAAATTAACCTCTAAACTTTACAAATTTATTTTCACTGTACATGACTTGTAACTCTTAAAATCACAAAATGGAACTGCGATTTATCCATCACTCCCATCTGCGACTTCTGTACATAGGCTTGAAAAAAAAACACCTTTTTTAACAACTGAAATTACAAACTTATAACACATTCAACGTAAAAACCATTCACAGAACATATATCACCTTATGTGAAATGTACAGTCACAGAAAAAGGAAAATTTTCTTAAACCATCAACAACAAAAAAAACAATTGTTATGAACTGGAAAAAAACAGAAAAATTGACTGTGAATGTTTGTAACAACCAACACTGAGGTTGAAGAATTTTTTCCATTTGTCAGTTCAACAAAGTTGCATTGCGCCTGTGTAAAGAAAACTCTTGACACATATACACACATGAAAACACAAAACATTTATTTGCTCATGTATTGATCATTAACCACCTCTGACTTTATCACACAAACAGTATCTCTTTTGTTCACATGGACTTTCAGCATCTTTCCTTTCTCCCCTCATATTTAACTCACTGACTCACTGCTGTAATCAATCACTGCCTGTCCAGCAGCAGAGCCAGCAGCTTGTTTCTCAGCACATGTGAATGCGGTTACACTCAACTATAATTACGTAAAAGAAGACCTCATGTCAGCTTTTAAATTCTCGAACCGAAGTCTCGAAGTGCTAGTGAGATAAAATTATGTCACTTTTTTTGTGATTTAAAGAACTTTCTAAGAGCAAGTAACATGATGTTGATACATTTGTGTTGCACCTTTCATGCAACGACATGAACAACAGAGGTCAAAAATAAAGTTACCTCAAAAAGATAGGTCTTTCATTTCTTTTAAAACACATTTCTGGTGGCATACCATAGGAATTTCTAAATGAAAGGCAGTGGAAGATCTAAGAGTTGGAGCATCAAACAAAAGGCAGCTGATATTAGTTGTTGTGTTCGGAAGGTGCAAGGCTTTATAGCAGGTAAATGGACGTTAAAATCAATTCTAAATGATACAAATATCCAGTGCAGTGATTTTTTTGTATTAGTGAAAATCCTGGCTGCAGCATTCTGAATTAACTGCTTGCTTGCAGACTAATTTCACATGTTTGTATGTTCATCTGACCTAGTGTGCATTCACTCAACCAAAAGACTCCCTGCATAAGGATCAGTTATTTAGAAGTGCACAAGTTAAAAACCGTCTTTATTTTCCCTCTCATTCGTACCAAATTGCATGGCTCTTTCCAGGAACCTTTGTAGATATTATTGGGAAATAATTCTGAAGTGAAGGATCTGTAAATACAACCTAAATGAGCACAAAAGTAGTCCCAGCTGTACTGATTTAACATATCGTAATTAAATAAAAACAAGCAAAGGGTAAATAAATAATAATAATTAAAATAAGTAAAAGGCAAAGATTATTAAAACATACAGATTTCAAGGTAATAAAGTTGTTTCAAGGAAATTCTTTATCTTTACATTTTTTTAAACAATTCATGAGATCTCTGAAGTCAGCATTCATCTCATTTAACAGTGTCACAAAGTCACATCCAAGGTTCACATTATTACAGTCTTTGAGTTCATCCGGCCCTTGGGTTCAAGTTACCATAATCCAGTAATGAGAGGTAATATCCTGCTGTAAACTACTGTTAGAGTAAAGAAATCACCAGGTGTTCAAACACTGTTGTTATATGATCTGTAATAATCTTATAAAATGTTAAGCACCTCGGCTGCACACAGAACCTGCTGGATGTGGCAATAAGAAAAGCTGGTGTTCACTGAGGAACAGATAATTTGGCTGTTTCAGCATTTTAATAGAAAGAAAAGTAGATTTGTTTCACTAACTGTTTCATAAAATTCATATCTCAGAGAAAGTCAGATTTCCAGTGGTGACAGCTGATTCTCAGGTCAGATGATGCTAGGCACTGACTGCTCCTAGAATGAAGACACCAGGAGGGGAAAATAACACCATCCTGACACCTCAGTGTGGCTGTCACCTCCGTGTCATCCTCGCTCCATCACACTGTGAATGTTGCAGCAGATTAAACATAATCTGACTCCCCAGCCAACTACAAACTCCATTCTGCAGTTAGATTTACTGCCCACGATGAATGTAGTTTCACCTGCTCTGCATTCCACCTTATGTCAAGTTGCATTATCTATACTGGGCACTGCCAGGGATTTAGCAGGAACCAACTAATCTTTTCTAATTAACAGAAAGTAGTAACAGAAAGTGTTAATTTCAAGTGAATTCATGTTAAAAAATTCTGTTCATAAACATGGGTTCCCCTGACCTAAAATATTTTGCCTTGACATGATCAGTTCAGTGAATGTACTTCTGAGAGTTCACATAACTAGTTTTTAAAGAAACAGCATATTACCAGATGACCCAGCATAGATTGTTTGAAAGTTAAAACTCTTTTTTTTTTAGATAAGTCATGGTTGTATATTCTCATAATAATGAAAACAACAGAAACCACAATGAAGGTTGAAATGAATCCCTACCCCCTATCCTACTAACTTGTTGGAAACAACCTTGTATGTGGTCTTTGCACTAACTATGTGTTGATTCAACACAATATGCTTCAGTTGTTTGAACTTGTTTTCTTAAGTTCAGTAAATTGAACTGCGTTGGTTTTATGGTTTCAAAACTCACTATTTTAACTCAAACTCTTTTGGCTACAGGGGAGCTTTCATTTTTAAGTTGAACTGGTTTAAAATGATCTACTGTAGCCTATATACTCGATTTTGTCTGATTTCACATATAATTAATAGATTTTTAAGATTTATTAGTGTTATCACCCATGTTAGGTAATTTTTATGGAGGAACATTCACAGCAATTAGAGATTTTATGATGAGGTTGCCTTCCTGTGTTTCATCTAATGTATGCAGAAATATTTATGACCATAATCCTCATATCCGACTTCACTTTGGACTGAATAGAATTTGAATTTTTATTTCTCTGAAGTCTGGTACATGCTGTTTGACACTGGCTTTGGCAGAGGTTCTCCGAGTACCCTTCTAGTTACAGATTAAACCAGTGATACCCAACGTATTTGGCTTGTGACCCATCACAGAAAAACAACATCTAGTCGGGAACAGTTTCTCTGCAGTATAAGTACTTTAACTGTTGCTTGATTTTAAATGCACCTTACACCACATGAAGGGAGGCCCTCTGAACCACTTTGACAACAACTTCGCCTCAGTTCACTTCACAACATTTTACCATGATGACCACATGACCAAATACTGTGGAACTAGTTTTTGGTAGTAAAGCTCAGTGGAAATAGTTGATAACTTTCTTACTCTGTTCAAGACAAATTCAGCTTCTGAGATTCACAGACAAGGTCAAAGTTAGTCAGGGAAGCAGGTAAACAGACTCCTTGTCTCTGTGGTCTGCTCTCAGCAGCCAGAACAGTGACTCAGTGACCAACGGTCTAAATCTCTTCTTTCCCTTTGGCCATTAGTGGAAAATCACCACACTAGTAGAGTAGAGGAGTGAGAGGAAAGCAGAGGTGGGGTCCTGACTGTAAAAGACCTCTCTGTCTGGGCTTTGGCCTGCAGCCAGGCGGCAGCAGCAGAGACGTGTCAGACCAGGTACACGCCAGGGACGCACACCTCATAAACTCTACTCTGAGTTTCAAATACTCAAGCTGAGAGTCTTGTGATTCCTGAATTACATATTCTAGATGACCATGTTGTAAATCAGTGAAAATATAAACCTCCTCTGAGCTTCACACAGGACTGGACACGAGGCCAAGTCTTTGAGATAGAAGTTGGACTTTGACTCTGGAGTCATCATATAAAGCAGCGGAGAGGGAAAAGGAGGCTGTTTTACCTAACAGAGGGAAGACGAGAGAACAAAGCCATGGCCACGTGGAGGACAGTGGGAGCTCTACTGCTGATAGCACATGCTGGTAAGAACTGCTATATTACATCTAAATACACTGTAAAGCTTTTGTATGTATATATTTTTTCAGTTCAGCTCAGATCTTTGTACCACAAGAAGAAATTCTTTTTGTAGCCAGGCAGCATTAAAACACAAGAAAACAAGAAACATAAACACAATAAAAACACAACAAGACAAGCGAGGACATTAAAAGAGTTGGAACAATGCACACATTAAAGAAATTAAAGAAAGGGTGTATGACACAGGCAAAGATATATATTTCTGACAATTATGTCTTTGTGTGTGGCCATGTGAACCTTCTCATCTCTTGTGTTAAAATACATAAAAGACATAAATGAGTAACAAGTTGGATTACCATTGATGCCTGTGAAGATAAGGGGAAATTTTCCTTCAGCAACAATGAGCAAAGACATCATAATGAGAAATTTGCTTTGCATGTCTTACAAAAGTAATGTGTTTTACAAGAACTTACAAGTAAAGTACTTTACTTTGGACAGAAAGTACAGTGGAAATTGTGATGTAGATTTTTTTTCTCATTCCACTGTTCCTCTTGTTTTCCTAAGCCTCACCAACACTCCAAGAGTTATAACCATAACAACCTTCACGTTGTCAGACATTGTTCAGCTGCTATTATGACTGTGTGTGTGGATGGAGCCACCGCTATAATCCGTAGCAAGGGTACCCAGAGTCTGATGGTTAAAGGGGTACAAGGAAAGCATAGACTTAGAATATATTCAAATCTAGTTGTTGTCAAAGATAAGATAAGATAAGATAAGATAAGTAGGCGAAAGGACAAGAAACATGTAATATTAAGTAGGTAAGACCATGTGACAGTGCAGATTTTGGTGTCCAATAGCATCTTCACACATGAATGTTGAGGATAAAGTTTGACCTCATATGGAATAAGGTGTGGTAAAATGTAGCAACCATGTGATACCTAAGATTATATACCCATAGTCTGACAAGACAGTTTTCTTCAGCTCACAAGAATTTCAGTCACAGAAATGACAGAACATAGTCATCCGTATTTCATATGGATGGATTGCCAAATGGGCCTTCACCTACGTATAAAAGAGACCCAAAATGACCACACAGACACATACACTAACCACACAGACACATGAAATGATCACAAAGAGATATAAAACAACCAAATAGAGATTCGAAACAACCACAAAGAAATGTAAAAAGACTACAAATGACATAATGATTTTATGTCTCTTTCAGCCTGGGTGTCTTTGTGCTATTTACATGTGTGTACAGGGACCCATTGTCTTCTGGTTATAGGTGTTTAATACTCAAGGCTACAAGATGTTTTCATGAATCATTTGGTGGAATATTTCAACAACTGAATGACGGGCAGTCTGCATATCTCCTTCCCTCAGTGTTTGGCCAGAAAACCATCAGATGGTGCACCATCTCAGACCCAGAGCAGAGGAAATGTCAGGCCATGTCGCAGGCTTTCGCCAGCGTCTCCATCCGTCCGTCTCTGAGCTGTGTCGGCGCAGGGACAATCGAGGGCTGCGTTCAGAAACTACAGGTCAGATTTTGATAACAGGAACTTTAATTCAATAAATCTTTAAACCTCATTGAGCAAGTTTAATTAAATGACCTGTGATTATTGTAGTTTCTAAATGTTCACTGTTATATCACACTGTGTCGTTGTGGATTGATGTAGAGCATTATATTAAATATTAATTTAGTTATCTATTCATTTTTATCAGTCAGGACAGCAGGGAACACGTTAAAAGCTAATGAACTGCTTAGAGTGGCAGAACATACAATCAGGCATCAGATAACAGAGGCCACATGGAAAGTTTCAATAAACATCTTAATAGGCGATGCAGTTATCAGGACCCTGAGCTCTTTATGACACCCACAGACCGGAGGATTTCTGATCTGTGTTCTGTTACCAGAAGCTGAACAAGGAAGGAAACACAAGCATAAACACATGCATTACCAATTTCATTCTGTAGGTATAAAGAAAATAGATTAATTTTAAGAGGAAGGACATGGTTGTGATGTCCCAGAGCTCAATGTTTTAAATCATCACAAGGCCACAGAAGCTCCTCATGGTTCTTCATCATATACTACAGATTTATTAGTTTATCTATTTGAGTCTATTAACACTGTGATTCCAGTTATTCCCCAATCATTCATCTTTTTCTTTGACGTGTCTGCAGAGAAAAGAAGCTGATGCCTTGTCCATGTTTGCCAAGGACATCTACACCCTGGGGAAGACTGCCTCCTTCAAGGTGGCTGCCAGTGAAACAAAGGCTGACCGTAAGATTTAACAATAACTAAAAAGAAATTGCATCACTGAAAATTCATTTTGGGCTAGTGGCAGTGGGGATTATAGGTACTGGTTCCAATATTATCCGAGGATCAGCAACAGTGAAGGAGTAAGAGTTGTATCATGAGCAGCACAGGTTCCCAAAACTCTAAGTGACTTTTGTTGTATTTTTATTGGTGTGATCTAATACAGCATTTCAACAAATTCACTCTAAGGACAGAATTAATTTCTGATGGTCACAGAGTTGCCACTGCCACTGCAGCAAAGATTACTGTGATACTAATAGAGCATTGTCTCCTAATTTATTGATGAGGATGTAGTTTATAATATTCAGTGCATCAGGAAAAGACTAAACAATCTGACGATAATAAAACATATTAATGATGAAAATTATGACTTACTCTTAAAGAACTCTTAATTCAATCTTCTGGCTTTGACTAGTGTCCTAAATCTGACATCATATCTGACATGAATGTTCTCTTTTCTTTTTTTATCAGAAAAAATAACTTATAATTTATAATTTCTTGTCACAATAACTGACCTACTTATTTAAGTTACATCACGCTGAAAAACATTAACTAAACTCCAGATCACTGTTACATACTCTGGACTTCTTTATACTGATGCTTGATGAAAATATGTGATAATTCTCCACTTGTGATGACACATTAGCTCAGTTTAATCTTGTTGGATAACACAGATGTTCTGTTATCACACCCTGATTATAATCTCTGCACAGCATGTGGGTTATTTCAGAACAGGACTGGTAGTCTGTACTTTGATCTCAATCTCATTTCTGTTCTGTGATAACATGTTGCTGTCCAACTACTTAGTGTCTCAGTGTCACACGTGTGCCAACACCAGTGATTTTTTTGCCTCAGGTACTGGTGCCGTCTACTATGCAGTTGCTGTGGTGAAGAAAGCGAACTTTGCCATCAACATCAACAACCTAGCAGGAAAAAAGACCTGCCACACCGGAAAAGGCCGAACAGCTGGCTGGAACATGCCTCTGGGATACTTCATAGACCAGGGTTACATGTCTGTGATGGGCTGCGGCATCTCACAGGGTAGGACAAATGTACATAGACACAAATACATATATACATATATATACTGAACATATAGAAAGCTGGAGTGAGGCATGTGTATGTGTGCATTTGCGATTAGGTGTGGCAAATTTCTTCAATGCGAGCTGTATCCCCGGAGCAAACACATCTGAGGATCCTCCGTCTCTGTGTCAGCTGTGCATTGGAGACACGAGCGGAAACTTCAAATGTGATTGGAGTAACAAGGAGAGATACTTCAGCTATGAAGGAGCTTTCAGGTAACACACATTCATACCATGTATACTTACACTCTTACACAAAGAAGTTACTGTCCTGTAGAACTGCGTATATACATGTGGAGTCATTTTTGTTCACTCCAACACTTCTAGATTGCTTCCTTTCCTTGTTTGCACCTTTAATTGGGAATTTCTCTGTAGATGTATGGCTGAAGGTGCAGGAGAGGTGGCCTTCATCAAACACACGACTGTCGAGGAGAACACTGATGGTAACGTCTTAGTTATGGCTGGACAATGACTAGTTGGTTATTACAGTAACTATTGACCCATTCAGCCGCTTTGTTGTTAGTGAGCCAGTCTTTTGGCTAACCAGTTATGTTTTTCACCAGGTCGTGGCCCTGTGTGGGCGCAAGGACTGAAGTCATCTGAATATGAGCTGCTGTGTCGTGATGGCACCAGAGCTCCAGTCTCTCAGTGGAAAACATGTCACCTGGTCCGTGTCCCATTCCGTGGCATTGTGGTCGCCAATGACATCACTCCCTCTGTGGTGTTTAACATGCTGACGGAGGGGCTGGTACGTCACAGCTCACACACTCTGTAGTAGTAACACACATGAACCGGTCCTCTGCTCATTCATAAACAGCACCCCAGTGTCCCAGATGGCCAGTTTCATTTCTGCACATTGTGAATGTCAGAGCCTGTCACTTGACTTCTGCTGATAGAAATTTGATAATAGCCAGAATTATCCTCATGCAGTGTTCTTGATAAGTACCAAAATAAAATCTAGATCTTTAAATTTTAATAAATCTCACCACAAATTTAGTTTAGTAGCTGTACAAGAGCTTTCGTTCATGTTATTTATTTTGATGTGATCTCTGCTAGAAACCACCCAAACTATGCAAAGCCTTAAAGGAGCTATTTGTAAGTTTTGCTATTGCTACATAGCCAACATTAGCATTAGCAGCTGTCAGCTGTTTACTTACCAGTCTAGAAGAAAAGTTGTGGGTTCAGCATCAAGCTTAATTCCTTTACTCACCAAGAGTTGTCTCCAGCACTGGAAAGCAACACCAATGTTAACTCTTGTCTCTAATAAGTTTTTTCTTCTACTGAAGTTAGAACGCTAACCAGCTAGCTCCGGCCCGTCTCGTCACTTTCCAAGAGTTACAATAACTTTTCTCTGAGCATTTGAGGCACCTCTTGCCCACATTCACTTCAAAGTTCACATTTCAAAATTCCCAGCCATTGGGCTGCTGATGAGGATCATGTGATATGATTCGAAGATCCAGAACAGTTACTAATTTAACCTTGGCATGAGATTGTTTGTTAATTTTGAATCTAAGTTTTAAAATACAGTTGTAATGTATATAAGAGAGTGCTCCAAACATTGCATGTTCAAGCATTACAAGAATGACTTTCCATCAGCTCTTTATTTCTATGTAGGCTATGGTCACTCTAAAAGATGTATTTAACCAAATTAACCTCTACATGTGTAAATTCCTGTCTGCAGGAAAAGTCGGGCTTCCAGATGTTTTCATCTGCTGCGTATGGAGGAGGAACTGTGCTGTTCTCCGAGTCATCCATCATGTTTCAGGGGGTGGAATCAGAGGACCACAAGAAGTGGATGGGCAGCAATTATTATAATGTTCTGCGTGCCATGGACTGTAAACCAGAAAGTAAGACTATCTATCTATCTATCTATCTATCTATCTATCTATCTATCTATCTATCTATCTATCTATCTATTGGCAGGTGAAATGCATGTACTCTGTAAAAGGATGGATGGATTTATTTGTTTCTAGTTAACCGGGCAATGAACCTACTGTACCTATCCACGTCTTTCTTTCCGTCTTTACCACTCACCCATCTACCTGTGAATACCCCAGGTGCCCTGCGGTGGTGTGTGTTGTCCAGCGGTGAGCAACAGAAGTGTGCTGATATGGCTGTGGCCTTTCAAAGTAAACATCTGACTCCGGACATCAAATGTGTCCATGGGGACTCTGTGACTGACTGCATGAATAAAATCAAGGTGACCGATGTTTCTCAGTGATATTCATTTATTTCTAATTAAAATGTTAAACACTTGAAATTCTAGGGTCTGATGGAGTTTTTGAGTAATTTTATATCAGCTGATATTTGTTCTTTGCATTTGGAGTGTCTCAGATTATCACTTTCAGATGTAAAGACTAACATGCTGATGTTTAGAAATTATTTTTACCAGGTTCATCATCTTGATTTAGCTTGTTAGCATGCTAATTCACACTAAAAGCAAAGTACGACTGAGGCTGATGGGAATGTCAATAGTTTTAATTAAAGTATGTCGTTTAGCTACCAAAATATCCTGAGGGGACCATGAATGTCTGCACCAAATTTAATGGTAATCTAAGAGTTGTTGAGCCGTTTCAACAACAAAATTACAAATATCAACCTGCTGATGGCACGAGAGGAAAATCAAGGCATCCCCAAATTCAGTCGGTTTTATCCTCTGGGGATCATGAATGTCTGAAATACATTTCAGGGCAATCCATTAAATAGTTGTTAAGATATTTCAGTCTGAACCTATGTGATGGACCAACCATCAGACCGTTATTGCCATCCATATAGCCATGCTTCTAGCACGACTGAAGAAAACACTGGTTAATAAAAACCAAGCAAAACAAAGCAGAAACAAAAACTGATGGCTTTTTTTTCGAGCAGTTCTGAGATTTCAATCTGTCTTCTTCTGTTTCTTGTTGGTGTAGAACAACGAGGCTGATGCCATCACTCTGGATGGGGGTTACATCTACACAGCAGGCAAAGACTATGGCTTGGTTCCTGCAACTGGCGAGAGCTACACAGGTAAAAACACAAAACAAAAAAGCACAAAAAAGTCACACGTTCTGGATTCAGACAGCACATACATTCGTTTTTTTTGTTTCTTTTCTCTGCAGATGACCGTGATGGCTCCATGTACTATGCAGTTGTGGTGGTAAAAAAGAATAGCTATGACATCCGTAACCTTGACGACCTGCGTGGCCGTCGCTCCTGTCACACAGGATACGGTCGCACCGCTGGATGGAACGTTCCTGTAGCGGCGCTGATGGAGAGAGGCTTGATCACCCCTAAGCAGTGTCAGATACCTCAAGGTTAGTGGGATGTTGGTGTGTGAGTGTCAGTGAGAGAGGCAGAGGTGTGAGCTGGACAAGTCAGCTTAACTCACTCCTCCTACCCATTCTGGGCATCAGAATGTTTCGTTTTCTAGATTTTACTACGGATGTTTCTTTATTGGTTAGTCTGCTGATTACTTTTTTCCATTACTGATTAAGTTAGGTCAAAAGGCATGTTTTGACTGATTTAGTATTAGAAAACTACTGTATTACAGTGACAAAGACAAAGACAAAAGAACATTTTTAGATTTGAGAAGCCTGACACAGAGAAAGATCATTGATTATTACTGTAAAATTGTTGCTAATTTATTTTCTGTTGATCGGCTATTGGTTTAATTGACTAATTTGTTTCAATACTAGTTTATACATCCCCACTCTCAATTCCCTGTTAAGTCAGCAAGTGCCATCATGTATGGTGGCTGACCAGGGTAAACGCGCTGCAACGGCCCAAAACACTTCCAAAAGGAGAAACAAGAGCTGTAAATTCATAAATGATGCAGATTCAAAAACACATACAAAAATACAAAATAAATACAACAACGGGAACTAGCTGCAAATGCAAATGAAAAAAACATGCTGCAGGAAGTCAAAACAAAGACATTAACTGCAAACACGCTGCAAATACAGAAACGCTGCAACAAAAAAAACACACAAACCCCCAAAACAAATGCAACAGAAGGAAGCGCTGCATATTCAGACAACATGACGGAAGGGCTCCAGGGCTCTAGAGGGAAGGCCAGGTGGAACACCTTGACCATAAGTTTGAGCCTCGACTCCAGAGGCCAGACCAGAAGTGCCAATGGTATAAAATGGTCGTGGTCGTGATTGCTTCCTTATGTCAAACAATACAACACTAGATACAGAATGAATTTGTGCCTGATTTTCTGCTTGTTTCTAGCTGCTATCCTAATATCTGCTCAATCCAGTACAAGGACAAGTACACTTTTTGAGATGTGACTGAGCTCCTCCACAGCCACAGCTGTTGTCACAGGCTGAGTGTTTCTTGTACAGTAGATAGAGCAGGTTAGAAAACATAATCGGTTTCAATGCCTGAATATTCCCTCCAGTGTTTGACTTTCTGTTTCTTGTCTTTCCCATGATGCTTAGCGGTGGGCGGGTTCTTCAAGCAGAGCTGTGTACCAGGTGCCAACCAGCCTGGTTTTCCCAACAACCTGTGTGACTTGTGTGTGGGAGACAACACAGGGAAGAGCAAATGTGAAAAGGGAAAAGACCTGTATGATGGATACAACGGTGCCTTCAGGTACTAAAACATTGGAACATCCTAAACCACTGCCCCTCATCAGGATTACATGTTTCACTCCAGTAGCTACATTTCCATTTCCAGCTTTTCTTTTAATTATATCCTGTATATTACTTAACATAGAAACATGTGCCTCTCCTGCATAATGTAACAATCTTATTTATTCTATCACCATGCTGATCCAAGCCTAGAAAAGCTCCAACTGTCTGTCACGTACCTTTTTCTGTGGGAAAAAATGAATGTGCCTGAAATAGCTCATCCTACTTTGAAGCTCTTCTGCCTCCAATAGAAAAGCGACTGGAATTTAATGAAACACTTCATGTGTCTATCTGTCCATTTAGGTGTCTGGCGAAGGGAGATGGCGACGTGGCTTTCATCAAGCATTCTACTGTCTTCCAAAACACTGACGGTAAGTAAAGTAGCTCCAAGATTTTCAAAGTTTTCTTCTTTCTGGGGTCTCAGATTTTTAACCATCTCACTTTGTGTGTCGATTCAGGTAACTCTGGAGAATCGTGGACTGTAGGTCTACAATCTACAGATTTCCAGCTGCTCTGTTCTCAGGGCGCGAAAGCCGAGGTCACGCAGTACAAACACTGTAACCTGGCTAGAGTCCCTTCTCATGCTGTAATGGTACGACCAGACACCAACATCCACGCTGTCTATGGACTCCTGGACCGCGCTCAGGTAAGACTGTTTATACTATACGTTCCGTTTGTGAGTGAGTCAAGCCAACAAAGTGCTGAGACCTGAAACTGGTTTAAGATAGGTAATCCTTGAGAGTAAAGAACTTTTTTGTAAGATTTATGTCATAATCATAATTGTAATTCTTCTTGCTGGTGCAGTCAAGGATGCTCCGACATCTGAGAATCAATAATTGGCCATCAGAAAACAGAAAGCAGTATACATTAACAAATAAAAAAAACACACTACCATGGGATTTTTGAAGATAACATTACTTTGACCCATAAATGAATACAGAAATCAGGAGTCTTGTCGTGTCTCATTTTAGTTTCACAGTGAGATGAATGGAAATCAAGTGGTAACTGGCATCTCTCTTTATCTCTTCCTCACTGTTTCCATGTAGACATATTTCGGCAGTGACACAGGTACTGGTTTCAAGATGTTTGACTCGAACGGCTATCAGGGAACAGACCTCATCTTCAAAGACTCCACTGTCCGCCTCGTGGGTGTCGGTGACAGAAAGACCTTTCAGGAGTGGCTGGGACAGGGCTACATGGACTCACTGGTAGAAATGGAATGTAATTCATCAGCTGCAGGTAAAAACACATAATTCCTTATAGTCCAATGCCAATTCAAGTGACTCCTGTTTTTAATAGCCTATGTGAAATATGTCTTTTATTCTGTGTGGGTATGAAATAAAGCTGATCGCAAAAGCCCCAAATTGTTGTTCCCTTGACAAAAGCAGTATGAACTCTCACTGCTTAAACATCTTGTAATTAAAAATATACATCAACTTTACAGAGAGGAATGCAATTTTTATGATTTATTTAAAGGAGCTACTTGTAAGTTTTGCTATTGCTACATAGCTAACGTTAGCATTACCAGCTGTTTACTTACCAGTCTAGAAGAAACTTTGCAAGTTCCGCATCAAACTTCATTCCTTTACTCACCAAGAGCTATCTCCAGCAGTGGAAAGCAACACCAATGTTAACTCTTATCTCTATCATGCGTTTTCTTCTACTGAAGTTAGCATGCTAACCAGCCAGCCCCCGTCCAACTTGTTACTTTCCGATACCGACTCACTGTAGCCTCCAGTTTGCCCTGAAGACGTAGCACTACACAGAGGGCGTATTTTAACATCTTGTATTATAAAGACAACAATTGCTGAAGCTTTTGTCAGGGGACAATCACCTCCACCTGCTTCTGGCAAGAAACCACATTCAGCGGCAGAGAAAACTTACAAATAGCCCCTTTAAGGGAATAGTTGGACATCTTGGGGAATACCTTTATTCAGCATGATACAACTCTCATGTCTGTACATTAAATATAAAACTACAGCCAGTAGACAGCTTATGCTGTGTTCATGTCATGTCGGATTTACCATAATTACTGGTTTCCCCACTTGTAAATGGCATTCACATCAACATCCAAGTTATAATTATGCCTGGGAAAGTTTCATTTTTCTGAAAGTTACGATACATATGATACATTAGTTTTGAAGTGCTGGCAAAACCAGGCAAACATAGATGTCTCATTTCAGCCAAAGTCTGTTGTAAAGGTTTTTTCTTTTAAGAAATGTCACTAACGTTTGTGCCTCTGTTTTATTTTGTTAGTGTTTTTTCTCCTTGTAGCATCAAAATCCAACTGGGCAGTCTAAGATATTATAGATGACATATTAAAAAAATTGATCAGTGTAGCTACTCCTCTGGCTTATCAGTTTGATTTTGTGTGTTGCCATGAGATGAATCTTTCATCTATTTGCCGCAATCATTCAGCTGTATATGAGACATTAAGTTGTATGGATGGATAGGAAATTGATGGAGAGATTGATGAAGGAAGAAACGAATACTGATCCATAAATAAAGACTCTATAATCCACAGATTAGGGAAGCTGCTGCCAGTTTTCATTGCATAAAATGGCCACTTTGCCTCTAAGAGCCAGATTCAGTCAAAGTTGTTTTCTTTTGTACAATCTCTAATATTTACCAATTTCTCTCCCTGTTGTAGTGATGTCCTCTGCATGGCTGCTGCTGGTGGCCCTGTTCAGCTTCATGCTGACCAACCTCTGGATGTAAAGGCACAATATGACCCAGGCATCCTGCGTCTTCTCCTACTCCCTTCCTCACCTTTTTTTCTAATCCTTTCCCCTTGCTTTTCTGGAGATCCACTCCTTCTATCCATGAATGTTTTTTTTTGTTTTATTGTAAAATTGCGTAGCTTCTACCTGATTGTATGATGTTTTGATGTATGTGAGGGTGGCATGTTGGAACTACCTTTGGATTTGAATTGCGCTACTGTTGTAGAAAATGAAGGACTTCTTTTTAGTGGCAGAGAAGAGTTAGATAGATGAGAGAAGGTGTTACTACCACTGTGTTTACTGAAGGTGAGCTGCCATATCAGTGCGTATGCTGCCACCTGTTACATTGCTTTAGTGGTTAGTGCCTCCTCCGAAGCTTGTTTTACAAAGAACAGCCAATATGATTTTTAATGTCACATGAGCTACAGAAAATGCTTTAACTTCTGGTTTAACTCTCTGAAGCCTAGTTACTTAAACTGCAATGATCACTTAAACTGCATATCTAAAAGTGCAGTTTTCAGGTCAGTGAGCTTTGTCCAAGTTTTGATATTTCTGCCTCCACCTCAATACAAAAGGAAGTGAAACAAATCATTTGTGGAGCTCACAGCATTGAGAAAAAATTACATTACTTCTCCCCATTAGTTTGGATTATCCACACAACACCCTCTCAGTAGTTTCTATAGGGAATTAGTAAGTAGTAGTAGTAGTAGAAAGTAGTTCTAGTCAAAATAGTTCAGTGTCTGGGAATTATCCAGAAAATTCTGTTGAATTGCTCTTGAATTTGTAATTTTAACTTCTCAGTGATGTGAGCACCATCTACAGTACATCCATTGTATTGGAGTAGGTACAAACCTGGACAAATAACAACAACATTTACAAACTTACTGGAGGTAAATGTGTTGTTATGTGGGTGGACTGGCCCTTTAACCTAAGGAGCAGTAACTTCAGTAAAATGGATAAAATGTATCCAGACAAAAATATATCATTACATCTTTAAAGCTTTTTCTTCTGGTACCTTTAAGACTCTAACCCGCTGTAACTGATCCAAGTTCAGTTTCCCCATTTGCAAAGGCTTCATGTGTATTTAGAAGTCAGATTGTTGTTCTGCTCTGCTGCTCTTTGCTCTGTGAGTACTACTAACAGACATGGCCTTGTCTGAGTTCAGGCTGTGTATCTTACTATAAGCTAATGCCATATCAGTGAATATGCACTAGTGTTGCCTCCACAGAGAGCTGTGTTGGGGATGGTGTGATGATGAGTGATTGAGTTTTCATCCATAGGCTGTTGGCTTCATGTATTCTCCTCAAATGCTTTGAAATTAAAGAGATAAATGATTTAATTCATACAGTGTACAGTGTAACTCAGCATTCATTTGAGCCCGCCTGCAGCTCAACATCTAAATCTTTTGCTGCATTATTTTTTGGCTTTTCACTTATTTCCGTAACTTATCTGAAACTGTGTAGACACAAATGGAGTGAGTAACTCTAACACACTGGTTTGGGGAGAACATGAAGAAAACCTCCTGTGGTTTGTGATGGAGAGTGAATGAGTTTTTGTTTGTCTGGATGGTATAAGTCAACAAAGAGAATGTGTCAGGTGAAGAAAAACAACAGGGTTTTAATACTGGTTAATTTCCTGGTAAAAAAAAAAAAATACAAAATATAATACAATTAAAAGACAATAACTGCTAATGCTAGACTATTCTGAGCCCTCGTGTCTGCTTACCTGAACGACTCACTCCAGGATTGTCTCTTACTAACTCAAACTAACCAATTTCCTGTCACAACTACTGTACTTCCTGCTGCTTGATGCTGTTTCCAGATTTAAAATTGTTGATTGGATGTGTATTTCCCTATGTTGAGAGATTTATTTTTATATGAAGTTCAGGTGCCATATCAGTGTATATGTACTGGCTCATGCTGTCAGACACTTATGTCTCTTCTTCCTCACGATGAAGTTTTATTTCTCTGTGAAACATGTAACTAATATTTAGTTGCCAGGCCAGTGCGTCTGCACAAGTATTACTACATAAAGCTGTTTTCTCTGCTTTTTCAAATGAAATAAAGATACTTTATATGCTGCAAAATGGCATCTGTTGAGCTTCATTTTTGAGTATTTGTTATGCTTTCAATGCTTTTTTTCCCCTACAGTTTCTCACCTCTGATTAAGAGTCATATGAGGATCTTTGTCATGTAGCAGTTCTATATAGCAGCCCTTTAACCCATCTGCTGTTACTACTATTATGCATCAGAGTAATGAATTTGCATCAGAATAAAGTCCTTGTGTACATGGAGGCAGAGTATTTTTATACAACCAAATGATGAGATAAGCAGTAAAAAATTTTTTTTTCTTTTTTTGTATATTCTAATATAGCGAAAATACACCTGTATCTAATAATTATTTCCATGATAGATTAATCCAACTGTTATTTCCTTAATTAATCTATATAACATCAGAAAAGTGGGAAAACCCCATCAGAATTTTCTAGAGCCAAAGATGACATGTTTTGTCATGAGCATGTTTTGTTTTTCTACGACCAACAGTCTAAAGATATTCAATTTTCTAAGATGCTGAGGCAATGAAAATAAGAAAGCTCACATCTGAAAAGTTGAAACTCAAATGTTTGCTTGAGAAAATGTCTTAAAGAATTAATTATCGTAGTTGCTGAATAATTTTTTGTTGATCAACAATTCATGGCACCTTTAAAGTAACAGCACAATACACAGTAATTGCCAGAAGTGATAATCTTTGTTCATGCTCTGCTCACTCTACTGGTGTAAAGATACGTGCACAGGTGTTTGAAAGTAGCATACAGCTGAATCTGCTTTTGCCACTGCAGTGACCAAATCTCACAGGAGGCAATAAAATGTCCTTTTATCTCTACTTATGTTGTAAATTCATCTCTGCCACTCTCCTGCCAGAGTTGTGAAAGCAAATGAACTATGAGCTAAAACTTGGAGGCAGTGAACTGTGAACTCCAGTCCTTCTGACTCTGCTGTGGATTTCTACATCACACGTGTGTACTTGTGAACTGCACACTGAACTGAGTGGCTTCAAAACTACTTGTGATATCACAAAATACTGCTCTGGAAGACACTTCTTATACTGAAATTTAAGATGAGCATAAAGAAAACTTCTCCACTATCAACAGATTAATGTGAAAACAACTTCTAACGTCAAACTCTGCAGATGCATCATTCTGCACATTAAAGGTTAGATCCCAAAACACATTTTTTGAGTGGGTGGGGATTTTAAAATCTGATCTTTCAGGTTCACTCGATTGCATTTGGAGTATCAGAAAACAGCCCACCTTCATTTAAACCAAAAAAAAATTATTTCTTTTATATGTAATTTTATTATACAGCTATATCAACTTTGAAAATATAGTTTGCATTTTTTCCTCTTACTTTACACACGCTTTGTTTTGTGCCAGGGGCAAATGATATCAACTGACACAGACTAGCAGTCAAAGCACTGTTATAAATTATAATCTTTATTCATACAGTGAGAATTAAATGAATTCATTGTTTACACACATCACATCCATCTACATATACACATTCAGCTGATAAAAGCGTTTCCACTGACAACTTCATGAACAGATCAGAAAAAGGTCTTCGGCAGGATTGGTGTCATAGATGCATGAGTGCCAGGCGGGGGAGGGAAATGAAAAAAATCAAACAATACTTTTGTCAGAACACAGGACATGACTGTGTAGTGTTGTTCATAGCTTCATGTGAAAAGGCTATGAACACAAAATAGCTCCAGAGTACATAACATTTCCCAAGACAGTCCCACAAGCTTTCTGCAAGACTAAATACACACATCATAAATTATCTGGCCAAAGAAGTGTAGACCTCTCCGTATTATTAACAATCACCATTCCCGATTGTCAACTGCTCCGAGTTCACCATATCTGATGGTTGCAGTTGATCACCACATTCCTGAGGCAGGTTCTTTATTTTTCATTTCTCCTTTCATCTCCTGGTTTCTTCAACGGGCAGTCAGGTGAGATGTTGTCAGCCTGTCAGTAACAACACATCCTACAGCCAGTCTGTCCTCTTTATTTCTTGATCTGTCTGGAGCCGTCCTTCCATCCTTCCTTCACTTCATTCACAAATGTCTCTCGGACTCTCTTGAGGCGGCTGCCCATCTCTCCCAGGTCACCGGGGACTCTGCCGGCCTCGTCCCGAACCTGCCGCAGCGTCTGGGACCGCATGACCCGTTCCGAGGCGTCCCGCCCGGCTATCTGAGCTTTAGTGATGGCGTACGCTGTGATCTGGGCCGCCCTACGAATCGGCCGAGACTCTGCCAGTTTCTCGACTACGTGGAGGTTGTTGAGGAGATAAAATAACAAGCGAGAAATCATTTTATCCAGTGTTTAGGTAAGTCAGCTAACTTAACAGTCCCGTCCACCTCTCGTGTATTTCAGCCCTGTAATGACACCAACATTTTCCGTTAGTTAACTGCAGATGTAAGTTTGTCAACGGTAGCTTAAATCACCATATAGGTTGTGGTTACGGTGTAAATTTCAATAACTACATATATAAAAAGTTGACTTACTTCAGCTGAACCAGGTGACCGCTAGCTAGCAATGGATGACATAACAGACTGTGCAGGGAGGATAAAGTTGGCTTCACAATGGGAAGTTAAACTTAGTAAGCAGCGGCCACAAGTGGTAATTATAGCACGCTGGCACATTCAGTTCTGGAAATGTTTGCACATTTTTTTCCCTTCTGTATATACCGGGTGCCTACCTCTAAATGTAAGGGCTATTTTTAGTTTTTCAGTATTGTGTGCTATGCACCTTTCGGGCCACAATAGTAACACCCTAATGCTGCATTCACTTGCTATTCGAATGGTTCCGTTTCCCGAGCTGGGAAGTTGTTCTTCCGACTTAGGTGTGTTCGTGTGCTTTAAATCGGAATATGGAAACAACATGGACGGTACAAAGAAGATGTGCTGTATTTTATTGCTCAAGACAACATATTGATAATTGTTCCCAGTATTTGTCTAACTTATTGGTGCCGTTATTGCTAATAAATAACTTTTCTAGCTACTATAGGTCACTCTGCGTAGACAGCAACTAACGGTAGCAAACTAATATATTGCCGGGTAGCAAAATCTATAATAATACATATTCTGTCTCATCATACATCATCATTTCTTTTCTGTACGAATCCGAAGCCAACTTCAAAACAAACGTTTTTCCGGACGTTTTTTTCTGGTAACACCAACCGGTGAAATACATCCGGTGGTATCGCACGTACATCCGCTTTCAGGAGCAGATTTCACTGCTCATTTCCCTTATTCATCCCTCCAGATTTTCTCGCTGAGCGTTGAGCTCAGTCTCCAAACTAAACTGTAAACTGTTCGCGGGCTGCAGATATGCGGGTGTTTCTGTTGTTCGCGGTGACGGTGCTGTCTCTGAGCCCGGCGGGGGTGAGCGGAGCCGAGAAGAAGAAGCTGCAGATCGGCATCAAGAAGCGAGTGGACAACTGTCCCATCAAATCTCGCAAAGGAGACGTGCTGAACATGCACTATACGGGCAAGCTGGAGGACGGCACTGAGTTTGACAGCAGCATACCCCGCGACAGACCCTTCACCTTCACCCTGGGCACCGGACAGGTGATCAAAGGCTGGGACCAGGGGCTTCTGGGCATGTGCGAAGGCGAGAAGAGGAAGCTGGTCATCCCCGCCGAGCTTGGCTACGGAGACCGGGGAGCACCCCCAAAGATCCCCGGAGGAGCGACTCTCATCTTCGAAGTGGAGCTGCTCAGCATCGAGAGGAGATCCGACCTTTGATTTAGAAGAGATGGCAATTAAGGCAACTTTGAAAACGTACGTTTTACAAGTGGTACACTCTCAGTGCACTGTCTGAGTTTGGGCCTTGTTCTTTGTGTATTTTTCTTTCATGTCACTTTATCCTTCTACTCTACAACATTTCAGAGGGAAAAATTTAACTTTTTACTGTTCTACATTCATCTGACAACTACACTTACTTTACAAATTAAGATTTTTGCATAAAAACACATGAACATCTTATAAAACACGATATAGTTACTTGTAGATATTCTGCTTACATACTTATGTATGTAAGCAGAATATCTACAGAATATCTACAAGTAACTATATCGTAACTGAAAGGATCAGTAGATTAATAGAAATTTTACTGGCAACTACTTTGCTAAAGGTTTAGTTTTTCTGCTTTTCCCTTCTGTTAGTTTTAATATTTTTGAGGCTTGGTCTATTGGCAGAACAGAATAAGCAATGTGAAGTTGTCAATTTGGACTCAATTTTGGTAAATGTGACAGCATTTATTAATTTTCTGAATTTTTACAAAACAACCTGTTGGGTCCGAAGGGCAAAATGAGTTCTGGGACTTTATTAACCCCCTCCAAATTCCTCCCTTTCTGTGTGCTTTTTATACATTATTACTGAAATATAACATGGTCACAGGTTTCCTATGTAGTGATTTGATTAACAGTATTTTGGTTTTGGTCTCAGTTTCAGAATCATTACACCCCTAGCAGGGAGTAATGGAACAAGGAAGAATAGCCACAGTGAACTATTACTCATACAGATACAAAGTAGTTGGCAGTGTCTGGCCTCTCATGAATCTGTTGCCACACACACCAGCCATAGATGAAGAGCTGCAAACAACAGGATATGAATAAAGTACTATTTTTATAATAGTGCCAAAACTTGGGTATCATATCGATGTCAACTGAAAAACTGAAATGATATCAACCCTTATTAGAAGTAGCATTAACTGTTCAAATTGATATTTGAAAAAGAACAAACTAACAAAAACAAGCACCCTCTCCCAAAAGATTTTTAGATTGAGATTCTTTGTTTGCGCTGTTCTTTATGACATAAAGTCAAAATGTTTAGTGTACTGTCATTTTCTTTCAGGTTCCAGAAGCTGCTGCAGCATCAAGTGGAGATCATCTGACCTCTGATAAAGACTACATGGAAAATCTGAGAGTAGGGTTGGCACCCTCCAGCAGAGCCACTGTCCTCCTTTCACTGGCTTTGCTTATTATGCCCTGATTTATTGGACTGACGTTATTATATGACACAAGAACTTACTATACTGTATGTCCTTGTAAACCTTAATGGAATTGACAGACAGCAGCTAATCCTAGTATTTAGCCAGGGGCTGATGATAATGTCACACCCTGATGTTTCATCTCACTTTTGTTTTTTCTGATTTATAAGTGGGTTCATTCATATCTGTACATTTTTTACAAAATAATTTAGGTTGTTGATTTAGTTGGAAGTCAGTCATGGGACAGATTAGGATACATGTTTTTGTTCACAGTATTTGAATTCTGATAATAAAATGTTGACCTTACGGGAACCTTTCCAGTCTGTAGTAGTTTTCTTAGACAAGAAAATACAAGTTTTTATTGTTTTCTTTGGCTTTATGTCTGTCATCTGTGTCTGATTCATGCACTGGAGTATTCTGGCAATTACACTCTTGATCATCTTAATCATTAAGGTCTCTCAAATGGGAAGTACTGTGTGAAATACAAATGCATTAGAGGCAGTTCAAACAAAAAGCAAAAAGAAAAAAAAAAGTAAATTGGTAATAAAATATTTAAAAAAAAATACAGTTTAAATATATTAGTAACAAGAAATCTTAAAATAAAAATATATATATTTGTAAAATGTCAGTACAATAAAAAAGACTTACTGGTTAAAGTAGGTCAAACAAGGGGACCAGTCCATCAGTGACCAATGACATACAACTGACTGCAGCCAATAGTGTGGCACCACATCTCACAGTTCAACCTCCAGCATCAGTAGTCATGTGACTGTGGGCAGTCTAACCATAGACTACATGGGTGGCTAAAGAATTCGGCATTAATAGAAATGCCACATTTAAAATAACCAATACTAAGTATTTGATTACATTAGATTATTAGACTGAGGTGTGTTTTATGTGTAGTAAGCTTTATTTCTGGGTTCTACATTTTTTTTTTTTGGTTTGTTATTTTTGTTGTTTGAGGTTGAGTATATACCTTTGCATTTTGTTTTCATCAGAATGGAGTCGAGTTTAAAAATACATGACGTATTTTAAACCAATTTATTTTTATAATCAGCGTACTGTACGTCAAATGTCATTACATTAAGAGCATAATCTGGTATCAACAGGGGGCGAAACTGGGCTTGTGTAGAGGTTAATATCTTTGGTTAATATGAAATGTTTCCACCCGGAGTCTTTCACAGGACGGACACACGAACCGGAAGTTGCTACCGCAATTTTTAGTTGAATAGCTGCAGACCGCCAACTTGCGACTTCTTCACCATGTCTGTTAAATTAAACGCTTTGAATAGTGATTCTTACATTGATATTAGCCAATACAGAGACCAGCATTTTAAGGTAAGTGAGGAAATATGAACATCAATACCCGAATGTTTTAGTTTTTTTTCAGTTAGCTAACTGTTAGCAACCGTTAGCAAACAACAGATTCTGCACAGACATTGTGACTTCATGTCTGTAAAAGGCATTTGTAACACTGTGTTATGGTCCTAGGTCGGGCCTATAAGGTATATAACTCACCTGACGTGACTGTAAGTGCTAACGTGTAATTTACAGTACCGGTGTTTATTGTCTTTTGAGCCTCACGTGTTTCGACTCGCAATTTGGTACAGTAGCATGCGTCCAGTTCGCATTTACACGGTTCAGCTCTCTAGAGCTCCCCACCATCGATGGGTGTTTATCTTAAATCAGGGATAACTCAGTGTATAAAGTATGTTAATTATTTATTTGGATATCCCCGTAGTTTCCTTTGCAAATTAAATACACGTGGTCAATTAGGACTGCAGCTGAAGATGATTATTAGATCTACAGTTGACTTTCTCGATTAATTGATCAGTTGTTTGGTTTATAAAATGTAAGAAAGTTTCACAAAGAATGCTCATCAGAGTTTCCAGAACCCGAAGGTGAACTCTTCATTTGAGCAATATCACATCCGAGGTCGTGATGTTGTACTGAATATCAGCACAGCTGTGATTCTGTCATAGCGGCCTGGTAGCGAAGACAATCACATCACGACCTCGAGTGCTATATTGCCTTTATACAACAGTTCTATGATCGCCATATTAGTTAAATAAGCAACAACAGATTATGATTTGTTTGTTTATTTCATAATTTATTTGGCAACGCCACCACAAAGAGTTCCGCAGCTGGACTGGTACTGGACAGTTGCTAAGCAACAATTTCCTGACCTGCACAGTGCACACTAGCTTGCTTCTTTGTCTACACGTTACCTCAGGAGTGTGCTGAAGTATCCAGGCTTCTTCCCTTCGTGCTCTTCTGACGACCACACATCATTTAATTCAAATGTTATTTCTGGAAATATATTCATCTTTGCAAAGTTTGTTGCAATCTAAGATGGATAACGACCGTTGATAGTTAAAAGACCCAGTGCTGTTGTGCTCTTTATCAGCACTCATGGAATGCTTCTCGTCCAATCAAATTACCTACCTAACCTTAGCTCTGGCCAATGTCCTCAGCCTCTGGGGAATGGTGCTTATTCATACTCTCAATGATGCTTGTGTTTGCAGGGTAACCGCTATGAACAGGAGAAGTTGCTAAAGCAGAGCCACACTCTGTATGTGGGGAACCTCTCCTTCTACACCACAGAAGAGCAGGTAGGATACACTGCCATTATTACCGACTACATCATCAGTTAAAGCCCTGCAGCAGCTTCTCTGGAAATTGGTTTAATTATCGTCATATTCTTTCATGACAAGAAATCTGTCTCTTGGTTACTTAATGAGCTGGTGTTTGCTACTTTGTCATCTTTTTATGGCCCCATCTTTTTATTACTCTAGCAGTTAGTAAGTTATTATGCTCATCTGAGCGAGGTATACTTGTATATTCTATATTAAAACGAGACGCAGAGCTTCTAGTGGATTACATTGAAATCATGATATATTTCAAACCAATTTTAAAAATTTTATTAGTGTTAAAAGCATGTATAAAACTTTTGCTTAACATCATACTTATTTTCTCTTACACAGTTCTCTACTTTTGTCATTTTTTTTGGTAACTGATGATCAGGTGCATGAGCTGTTTTCCAAAAGTGGAGACGTCAAGCGCATCATCATCGGCCTAGATAAAGTCAAGAAGACAGCCTGCGGATTCTGCTTTGTAGAGTATCCTTTGAAATATGAGACCCAAATTAAACATAGTCATTGTTTTAAAAATATTTGCATTCACCTACACAGCAAACACACCTGAACACCAACACTCTGCCTGTCTGGTTACTAACCCAAGTACCATGCTTTGTTATGAGCTCAATTTCACCACTATAGCATGAAGTGTATGAGTTTAGGACAGACCTTAATTCCGGATGTACCAGATACTACATGCGTGCAGGCGCAGAACATGCCATGCGCTTCATTAATGGCACACGGCTGGACGATCGTATCATCAGGACAGACTGGGACGCCGGCTTCAAGGAGGGACGACAGTACGGCCGCGGCAAATCTGGAGGACAGGTGAGGATTCTGACACTTGTTTGTTATGGGTTCTTATATGAACATGTAATTAGCCCACTGTGAATGCTGACAGGTTTTATATGTACATGGAAAGCACCAATTCTATAAATGTTTGCAACCATGCCTTCCCATAAAACCGATTATTGTTACAGACACCCTCCTATGCTCACCTCCACTCACACAATCAAACCTGCACAATTTCCAGCTGAGATAACACCATGAATATCAAATTATAAGAATTTATTGTAACAAACTAACAAAATAAAACAAACAAAAAAACAATACGTAACAAGAAACCGCTGTATAGGAATTTACAACTAGGCTTGAGTTTATTTTTTAACTGTAAAATTATATAGCCCTTTAAAAATGAAATTAAAAATTAATGTTAATGTTAAGAAATTACTATCAGTCGATATATCATTATTTGATTATTGAGTATCACCAGTAGCAGCTTCAAAAATCCAGTATTAGACAGGCTTCTGTAGTTTAATCAGTTTCAGAAACATATTTATGGATATATTGTTTTTTGTTATTTTGCTGGATATCACCTCGTATCTTAATATCCCTCGGGCTAAATAAATTTCCCTCTCTGTCTGAGATACAGTTCAGCGGGAAACACTAAATGCTTATTTTGGCAGAAAAATCGAATCTAATTCTGCATATCGACGACAGCTTCAATCCAAAAAGGCCTGTGTGCGCTTTTAAAAATCCATATCCGTTAAACTCCAGATTATATTAAAAGTATCCCAGAGAGGTAACGGTGTACAAAATAAAATAAAAAAATACACATTTTTGCAGTTTCACAGCATGGGTCCAGAATGGTCTTAGATAAGTAAGTGACCGTGTCTCCCAGCTGTTGCTGTGGTTTAGGGGGAAGGTGCAGCCTATCACATGATTTGATTCTAAATCACTGCTCACCTTAAACATCCTTCTGGGTGGCCGTCCTGGTGTTCACGGTCTCGTCCCTGCCTGTTTTGTCTTGTTCTTCATATTGAAAAAGTTTAGGATTTTCTGCAGCACAGCGTTTTGGAAACCGATATAAAAAGCATACTGTGACATTTGAAAAATGACATATACTGAAGTGGCATTCAAAAAAATCGATACACTATATCATGACATTTTAATACACCAGTATGATATTTAGAAAGTGATATAACTTCCAAAATAAATTATGCATGATTAAGCATGGCCTTTGAAGAGACAGCATTACTGTAGCATGGCATTTGAAAAATGGAAGTGTATATTATGCTGTTAACAAATACAACATACATAATCATGTCCAATTTTGTTGTAGAGGTACTCAATGGGCTTTCTCTGAGAGTATTATTGGACTAAGAACCGGCTTATTTTGGGGGAAAAAAAGACAAGCTTCTTAAAAAAATACCTTCCAGTATGTAACTTTAAGATACCTCAGCTAAAATAAAGATGTGATAATGATATCAGCTATACTCTACTATACTGACTATACTATAAGTAACAATATAATATAAGTTCAAAGGTCCACTCAGCACCAGTAAGACAACATATACAGTCACAACTGCTCGTTGATTATTTTTTCAATTAAATTTAGTAATATTGTACTTAAAAATGTATTTTATATAAACAGCTTTTTTGAAAATATGATTAATCAGTCATTTTAAAAATTTGATTAGAAGGATTCAATTTAAACAAAAATAAAAATGTGTGTGTGTGTGTATATATATATATATGTATATATATAAAACATATTTTATACAAAAGATGTTATTCTGTGTGCTTCACATAAAAAGTACACAAAATACAGATTCAAGAAATATGAGAACTTAGAACATGGGCAAAAGGACTTATTTATTTATTTGAAACTTTATTTTTTATAGATATTTTCAGGCGAAATGAATAAAGTTGACATCGGTAACATTACACTTGTATAGAAAAGGGGTCTTTCAGTGACATATGTAATGGGTTATATCCTCCAGGCACAAATATGAAATCAATTATGATCTTTTTCCAGTATTATACATATTGATCATATAAGAGTTGTAAGGTCAAGGGTCAGTTTTTCCATATGATTCATTTTGTTGACAATTGCAGTCCAGTTACCTTTTTGTTAAAGGTGTCACTGCAGCCTTTTTCTGTCAGCATTTTTTTTTAACTACATGGTCTCCAGCATTCATTGTGTCCCTGATAACCTCTGTGAATAAATGTCAATTTTGTAGTCACAACATCCAGAAAAAAAAGATATAAAAACATATAGATTCAAATTAACAGTAAATAAATGAGAATTAAATTAATAATGTGGATTGGTTAGAATATAGTAAAAGCTTCTCGGTTAAAGCAAGTTTGAAAAGATGAGTTTTACAGGTAAGACCCATCAAATGTGGACATTTCCATTACTTAAGTCGTTTGGTAGTCTAAGAACATTTCTGTTTTTCCTTTCTCATTGTGCATTTGTTTTTTTTGTTTTTTTTTCTTTGTGTGTATTTACCTGTGCCCTCTGGCTGTGTATCTGTTTTTTCGTCTAGGTGAGAGATGAGTACAGGCAGGACTACGACCCAGCCAGAGGCGGCTATGGTAAACTGGCTCAGCAGCATCCACCCGCAGAGACACGTAATACATTTTAGACTGAACCCCACCACGGCCACCTGCCTGGACTACACAGAGACTCACCCTCAGTCCTGGACTGGATTATTCCTCTAATAATACTACAACATGCCACCACACATTGTTTGTCCCAGTGTTACCATGAAATCCTCTACAGCACGCCTGCAGGATCCACTAAGCTCCAGAAATTAGCAGCTGTTATTTATTTCTTTTGGACACTTGTTTTCTCTTCTGACTGCATCTGAATTCCATACCTGCTATCAGTCTACAAAGTTGGACAGGCCAAGTTCGTTTGTGATATTCAGTGATATTTTCCTAATCCTGCATACAGAAATAAAATATATTTCCCCACAGGCTGGAAAGTGACGATATGCAACGATGTATTAAATGTATCAAATGTCAAAATGACTACCTGATCTTGTAAAGTCTCAATGTCTAGTTCAAGTAGTGTCTGCTGATGTACTGATTTTCATGAATGAAAAACTATGTATACTTTTTTAAATAAAGATTTTTTTTTTTTTGACATTTATTGAGTGATGCTAAATTTTTGTCCTGATCAGTGTCTAAGGTCCGTTAATCCATGTGTCTGTGTGTCATTCTGAATGCCATTCAACTCATATTTTTTAAAGAGAGCTTAAAATTACATATACATAAATACATCTATTCTATATAAATTGTGTGTATTTAGTAAATGAAGTATTAATATAGTGGTTTAAGCCTGCATCAACAGAGTTTTTTGGCCACTTGGAGGCAGTGGAAACACTACTGACGACCCATGTTAGGTTGATTGTTGCATATTCACATATCCAGAAGAGATAAATGTGAGTATTCATTGTGGGGTTGTTTGCCTCCTTTTAGCTCTGTATTGCACTTATTGATTAATCAAGAGATTACACAGTAGCTACCCAAGCAATTCTCATCCAGCCCTGTATTAAGTTATTAAGTTCAGGGATTCACGGGTGCATGTAGACAAAGTTCACAGACCAGTCCAACAAAGTTAACATCATGGACATTCCTTGAGGACACTGTGGCTCTCCAGGTCCATCAAACAAAGATCTTAAGTTCAAGGGCTTGTCCGGGATTTGAACCCGGGACCTCTCGCACCCGAAGCGAGAATCATACCCCTAGACCAACAAGCCCTTTATATTAGGTGCTCTCTCTGTAATTGCTCATTTTCTCTGTGGAGCAGCTGTTAGGGTCAATAGTGCACATTTGAAAGCTTGCTTAACAGTTTTGCCATGAATGAAAATTACACCGTTAAACCTCGTAAAACCGGTATTGACCTCATGCCATGAACATTTTGCTGTTATTAAACATCTGTTGTATATAGTACAATGGTTTTTCTGTGCATATTCTAATTAATTCAGCTACTGTGTAGTCTGCATGCAGCCAACACTCACAAGTCTGGTGCTTTTATTACCAGTAAAACACAAAAGTAACACATGATTAAAATCAGCACATGCTACTGCTGTAGAGTTTAGCTGGTACAACTCCCTATAGACTTAAACAGTTTGAGTAGATTGAATTTTTGAGAAATGTACTTAATCACTTGCTGAGAGTCAGAGCAGATGATTAATATCACTCTCATGCCTGTACAGTCAGCAGCAACCAGTTTTCTTAGCTTAGCACAAAGCCTGGGAACAAGGGAACAGCTAGCCTCTGTCCAAATCTTTTAAAATATGCCTATGAGCACTTCTAAAGCGCACTAATTAACACTTGGTATCTTGCTTGTTTAATCCATTGTTTAGCTAGCTTTAGATGTGCTTTTGGGTGTTTTTTTTTTTGTACCCTTTGTCACAGCCAGGCTAGCTGTTTCCCCTTATGCAAAGTAAATGAATGCTGGCTGTAGCATCATAGTTAGCATACAGACATTAGAGAGGTATCAGTCCTCTTGTCTCTCTAACCCTTTGCAAGAATTTCAAGCAGGCGGGCCTTGCCATCAGCAGATTATGATTATTGGATATGAAGGATTTGGATTCATATATAGATTAAATACTTACTTACACAGTGCTCTAAATGTTGAATTACACAAAACCCTTCTTAGGAAAATAAGAAATACAAAATGTAAGTACTTTATTCCCTCTTTGATATGCCTCCCCTTTGTGACAAAACCCAGACCACTTATTAATTTGTTTATTCATGAAAATTAGTAAAAATGTGTTATCACATACAGTAGATTCAGAGGAGCATTTAGATCCCTTCACTTTTTTCACACTTTATTTTGTTGTAGATTTAATTTTAAAAGGAAGGCCATTTTTGCCTAACAATCTACACTTAATAACTCTCAATAACAAAGTAAAAATGTGTTTCTAGTTTTGTATATGTATTAAAAAGTAAAACAGATTGAACCCTCTCATTTCCAGGTATTCAGACTCTTTGTCGTTGCACTCCAGGTTGTCGCCAGGTGTGTCCTGTTTGCTTTAATTATCCCTGAGACGCGACTGTGTGTTTGGAGTCCACCTGTGTCAAATTGGACTGATTGAACATAGTTTACAAAGACACCCGACTCTGTTTATAAGGTCTCACAACTCACACTGCACTAAGGACAGAAACCAAGTCATGAAGTCCAAGGAACACTCTGTAGAGCTCTGCAATAAAATTGTGGCGAGGCATAGATCAGAGCTAGGGTATAACCGTGTGTCCTTTATATGGCCGATAGTCCAGTAGCAAATTGATATGGGTGTTGTTTTGTATTGTGTAATCTCCAAGGCAGAGCTGTCACTTTTGTCTGTATATATGGCTTCCTTTTTGTCCTCATGGATGTTTGTCTGACAAAGTCCTTGTAGAACAAAATATTGCATTTGTAAAAACTGGGAGCTTGCAAAGTTCAGTTTGCGGACAAAATAAAGCACTATGGTTATACTGGTGATCATCTTGCAGAGCAGTAGGCCAGGGCTCATCTCCTCAGCTCCTAGACAATCCTCATTCCACCTGTGAAAAAGAACACGGTATCTTGGCTGTGTATAAGCAGTCATCTGGTCTCTTATCTCAAAGTGAGCCGTAGTAGTGAAGTGAGGAGCTGAGCAGAATAATAAACAATGGAAATTGGCTTAGCTTCAGACATGTTTTTGCATTATATCCCTACCACTTACTCCCGGCAACAGCTACTACGCTTTATTCTTAATCAAATCCCCTCAAAGCAGATTTTGAAAATGAACACAAGATGGCAGAAGAGGAGGTGGAGTGCCTTGGAATAATTGAAGACAGACATCAGATGTGGTAGTGAACCAACAGTCATACATTTCCCATATAGACTGAGAGTTCTCACTGTGCATCTGCTTCCATTTTGAGCCTGTTACGACCTTTATCAGCAGCAGAAGAATTACCACAACAATAAGACAGATGTTAAAAAAAAAAAAGAAGATGATTTGAACTGAGACCTTTGACACCTGAAAGGACAGTCGTTCCCCTTGACCAGCAATCCCTGTCTGCTGAAATTTCTCATGTCCTCAAGATCAGTGAGTCCCATCCAGGGGTACTTGTGCAACTGCCACGGCATGAAATGATTTGAGAAATGAAAATAGAAATTATAATTTGATCAAATAACGTGGAGAAAAATAAACATCAATATAGGATTACAAAATGGCATGATGCTGATCTTAAATTATCTGATCTCATTTATCGTCACAATCAGCTACTAGTTTACTACACAATGCATACTGAGGCTAAATGGTTTAGATTGAGCCATTCATGCACAGTCGGAATTCTTAACTACATTTACCAGATAAAAGTTGAAATAATTTGGTCAAAGTAATGGATAAACAACTTAATTAATTTGCTAAAAGTAATTGCTAAAGGGTTTAACACACATAGCAGCTGCAATGCCTCACAAAACTTAACACAGAAACAGTTAAAAGTGATTGATAAACAGTTGAGCCAGTTAACTGAAAGTAATGGACTGTTCTTATATAGAGCTTATCTAGTCTTATTGACCACTTTATACTACTTGCCACATTCACCTGTCACACACTTATACACTGATAGAACAACCATCAGAGGTAATTCAGTATCTTGCCCAAGGGCACTTGGACACACGGACTGGAGTGACTAGAGATCTAACCACCGACTTTCTGGTTAATTGATAACCCACTCTACCTCCTGAGCCACAGCAGCCCCATGTAATTGGACATCAAATAAAAAGGAATGGATGATAGCTGAAACCATTTGCTAAAATTACTGGATAAAACAGTTGAAATTAACTAAATGTAATGGATAAAAATAAGCTAAAAATAAAAGGTCAAAAGGTCTAGCTTTAAGGACAGTAATGCAAACTGACCTAAAAATCGACAGTTAGTTGTATAAAAAAATGTTGTAAAATTATCCACTTTTATGAAGTATTAATTAACATCCTCTTTCACAATCAATTCAAATGAACAAATTTGACAGGCGAGGTCAATAAAGGAGTATACCTGAGCTCAAATGACTCAAATCATCTGATTCAAATCTCTCTCCAGTAGGAGATGTCGCACAGACTGAAACGGACACTGCCACCGCTACTGTTTCATACCCTTCTATCACACTGCAGGAGGGTCTTTGAGCAGAAGGAGCTGTGGCTGCTGTAAGGATTGTGAAAGGATTTCATTGTGTGCTCAGTAACATAAAGAACGTTTTCATGATCCATAAGAGTTCTATGCATCCAAATGATGTGTATTTGCCATTTTATGTGAGCCTGGGGATCTATCCATTCACATGCTCCTGCAGCAAAACATGCAAAGCTCACTGATGCCCCAAATGTGCCCCCTGTGATATGGTTCTTGGAGATTTACAACATTAGCTGTTATCATAAGTCATCTTCAAAAAGTCAAGTTCAAATGGGGTCAAGTGAGAATTAGACAGCACCAAGGCCAGAGCCAGAATTAATGAGACATTATGCTAATGAGAGGGCTGTTTGGAAATATGGAAAGAAAAACCTCAAAATCCCCTGCTTTGTCTCACTGAGAAACGCATTGCTAAGGCTGCCTGTCATTGGCTGGTTACAGATGATGCAGTTAGATAATGATCCACCATTACAATGAAGAACAACGGCTCTCAATGCCAGCCTTTAGCATGGGAGATAACTCCCCAACTTGGTCATTAATTCATGATAAAGGGTGCGTCATGGATAAGCAGACTAACACACCAGCATGTGCTCACTCATGTCAAGTCGTTCAATCTCTTCTCACTCCTAGGGCTAGTGTTTTTTTTTCTTATACAATGATATTTTAGAGAATAGTGCGCTATAAAGGGGATGTAGTACTGGACTGCCGCCTGTGAGCCAGGCCTTATCACCCAACATTAATGCCCAAGCTCAATGGGATCAAATCTTTGCAGCCAGGTTCCAAAATCTCATGGAATTGAATGCATTTTATCCACAAGAAGTGTACTTTACATCAATGTTTTGGGGACTGTGCAGTGGTTTATCAGGAGAATGGGGGCTGACATTTGCATTGGTCCTCTTTTATATTCATTCATTCACCTAATTAAGCTTATTTAATTCAAAATAAAAGTTTTAAAATGCATTTCTCAGTGCACAAAATTGGAGAACA